ACCTTTTGACAAAATGGATACATCCTCCCAGTGACTTGGAATTGATACAGACTGTCAAAAAGGGTTTTCTGAATAGTCTCTCTTTAACACCTTTACCAGATTTTTACCCTCTTTTGTAGAAATGTGCAGGTTAATGTTGAATTTCAGATCATTTTTGACTGAAAAAGTGTGTCATGGAATCAGGGTGTCCCCTGAATACTCCTAACAGTTGGAGATGCCTCTTTGTTTTGAACACTAGAATCCCAATAGACCCATGACAGCAGTGGAATTACACTTTTGACCTTGTTCACTAAAGTGTCTTTCTCTGTGCGATTGAATGAGAGTAACCAACAAGAGCTTCCTCTAAAATGTATGAGTTTCCCTCTGTTTCTCATAAGAAACTCAGAAAGGATACTGTGCAGTTTCCATCTGATTGTATTCTCCACAAAAGGAAAAAAAACCCAAACCCTGTTTGATTCAAGGAGAGGTGGCTGTTTTTATCCATATTAAAAGTGCAAAAGCAGTTGATATATCAATATTTTCCTTAAGCCAGTGTTGTTGCTACATCCTGAGCATGACGGCAGCATTACAGCACAGTGGCAGATTTTTACCCTTTTGTTGCTTCATTCCCCATGTATTTTAAAAGGGGATATATACTAAGGCACCAAATATAATTTCAAAGTATTGAATCTGAATATAGAAAAAAAGCATAAATGTAATGTTCTGTGTGAACTTAGCTGATCATTATGGACTACACAGTCATGCCAACACAGAAGATAAATGTACTGTTTTCTGTAGGGGTATGTGCAGCCTTTTAAGATCCTGGTGTTTCTTTTCATTTCCATGTGACTGAGTAGACATAGCCAGTTGCAGGATTTGCCATGACTGCCAGTTCTGCCTTGCGCACTGAGGCACTGGCATGCCTCTTGCTCCACATTTAGTTGTTCGGGGCATGGCTTCTCTGAGTCAGAAGAACTCAGTGAAGTGGCCAGAAGAGAGAAAAAATCAGATTATTGTTCCTTCCGTTTTAGGCTACTAGTGTATTGGGGAGTTTTTTCCCCTGTTATATTCCTGTTTTCTGTGAGTATTTACCAGCTTTGGATTAGTGAACATGCTTTAATTGTCGTGCAGAGCACATATCTCTGAAATGCAATGGCAAGTACAATCTGTAGTTCCTGTGGGTAGGGAGTTAGGTAGCTGGATTCAAGAGAGGGGAAAGGACTCAGAGAAATCTATAATTTGTTTTTAGAAGGGATCAAAATAAGTGACTTACTGGCCTCTATGGCCTCAAGACCTCATAGCAGTTTCTCCTGTTTACTCGCTGTAGACGATGCTTTGTGGAGAGGGCATCAGAGCCATGGAGCGTGGAGGGCAATGCACTGAGGGGGCTGCAGATCTGTGACTGCTGGTTTCCTATCCTGCCAATAAAGCTTTTTTTTTAATTACTACTTCACTGGTGATATAAATTAATGATTGGTATGGGTCTGAAGCAACCTTGCCATCAGAGAATATTTGGTTAGTGTTGACATACTCCTTCCCTGCAAACATGAATCATCTATCTGCCTTTGGCAGGCTTGCCCTGTGGCTCTGCTATAATGTGTTTCACCAGCGTGGCTGAAATTAAAATGTCACTATTAAACATGGCAGAATCAGATGCTCTTTGGGCACTGCATCTATTTGTGTTCTTGCTTCCTATGTAGTTATTTCTGACAGTTTAATAGGACAGCTGTATTCTGGCATAAAATCATATATTCATATATCCTCAATGCATGGGGAGCAAAATGCTTTCAGAGCACTATTTTCTTGCATACATGTGTCTTTCATGCATGGCAGAAGCAGTAATGCTCATGTAACACCATGTTGCTGCTTAGTCCATTAGGCAGTGTAAAGTTAAAAGTAATTGTCCTGCAGGACCATATAGAGTGGGTCTCTAAAAGCAGTTGCTGGAGCTGTTTGCAGCTGCTGCATCAGCCAGGCTCCCTCGTCGTGAGCAGTTATTGACTCTGGGCTGTTGAATTCAGGACTCTGGAGGTTGCGCAGTGGGAAAAGCCTTCAGTCGGTGCTTGGCAGCTCTGTCACTGGAAGGTCACAGAAAGGGCATTTCAGTCTCCAAACCCAATTAGGGCCTGATCACCAGGGAAAATCCCACGGGGCAGGTTGGCTCCCAAGCCAGGCTTTTGCACCCAGCCTCTCTAGTGAGACGGCCAACAAATGTGTCCATTTGTGTCACTTGGGCTGTCAAAAATACCCTTTGCTGTCATGAAATGGCTGAGCAGCTGGTTCAGAAAGGTAAAGAGCCAGGTAAGGGATTAGAAGCCCACCACAGTTGAATTTGGACCAGTGACCTGTACGTGTGCATCTGCATCCCTCCCATTACTCATATCTAGAGCTGTCTAATTCCTCAGATCAAATCACTTAATTCTTATGAGCAGCTGTAATTTGCAAGTAGAATAAAGTCCAACTGCTGAAAACATTAATGAAGAATATAAAACTGAGGCTCTGTTTTATCAGGTATCAACAGTATTGCTTTAATTCCTCCCCCTCCAAAGATTTTTTTTTTTTTGGTGTGTGTGTGCTGGGTTGTGCTTTTCATCCCAGGTGGCTGCAATTTCTAGTGAAAATAAGTTGAGCCATGAAAGGTTGACCCACTCACCTCTGATTTGCTTTTTATGTGAGTCCCTCAGGGCCCAATTCTACCCATAGAAGTGAGAATGACAGCTATCAACATATATGGGAAGTATGTCTACGTGCACAAAGAAAAAGGTGAACCCCAGACTGGTCTGAGTGGTCTTTAAAATATGGATTTCCTGTGAAATGGTGATTAAAGGGGAAGCAAGGGATAATTAGAAAATTAGACTGATGTGCTAGCAGTTATATCTATGTGTGGTTTTATATTAGCTCTTTCAGACAAGCACAAGATCAGAAAATCCCTTATGACTCACTTAAACTAGTGTGTAAAATTTGGTTAGTGTCTGATCAGCTCCTTTGATCAGTCCAGTCTAGACTGTTGTCAGGGTACATACTAAACCCACAGTCCCCTTAAGTGCAGGCCTACTCAAGTGAATCAAATAACATATAAAAAGGTTATAAAAAGTGTTCACCATTTGAGTAAATTAATCTGGTTCAAAACTGAATACTTTAGGAATTGCAAAAATAAAAGCAAAGGTGTTGTTGCAGAAAAGACGTGGTAGAATTCTTAATTCATATTTAAATGACTGTCTCAGAAATAAAAATAAAATCAGCAAACTTTTATTATTTTTCATTGGATAGGCATTTTTGTAAGCCAGTAGTGTATCCAGATTCCATAAAAAAGAAAAAAATCTGTCAAAAATTCTGCACAAATTTGTTTTAAGAAATTGAAGAATTACAACCACCATGTCTGTCTCATTTCAAGCACACAATATTGTTTTTAAGTGTAGCAGTGGAGGGCCAGTGGGAGCCTTCAATATGTAGGTTGCACTCCTGCCTGCCTCTAATTTCTACGTGGGATTATTTGCAAGGGAGTACTGGACATCCAGCAGCATTAAATTTGTTACCTGTCAAAGCAGAGCAGTTTTCCCCTCATCACTAGAGCCTCTTCCTACATCTCGCATTGTAGCGCCATCCTGAACCTGTCTGTTCTTTGACACATGACTCTCAAAAATGTGAACAGTTCCTTTCCTCATAGATCATGCTCCTGCCTTTTGCATACTAGCAATAGTAGATGACCATTTGGAGACAATTTTACTTCAATGACCTATCCACAAGACCTGGAGCCACTAATTTTACCAACTTGGTTTGTACCTGAGCTGGTTTTCTCAAGCTGCCTATGTTTTGAGTTTAGAGGTTTAAGTTTTCAGTCTTCGTGTGCCTACCATATTTGTTGGTTGGATTACAGTGCCATCAGAACACCTGGCATAGAAGCAATGACAGCAAATTCATCAAATTATCAAGGGAAGTAAGCTAGCTTGTAAATAGCACACCAATGGGATGAAAAGATCACAGAAATGAGGCCATTTAAAACACAGAGAAACTGGAGTCCAAGTGGCAAATGCTTGTTTTAGCTACACCAGATTCTGTCTGAATTCAAGAGGAGACATGGTACACTGCTACTATCCAAACACTAAATTAATCTCCTGATGGCTGAGAAAAAGCTCCAAAATAGGCATTAAAGTCTGTAAGATGATATCTAATTTACGCAGCACTTCAAAAGCACCAACCATTACTATACTTACAGAGCTGCTTAAATAATGGAAAGATAAAGGAATGTGATTCTCTGAGTGAATACATGACTGCAGAATGCAATAGGAATATTGGGTAAATTCTCCCCTCTTGTGACTTGTATTCCAGCCAGTGGCATTACACCAGGGAAGGGTTGGACCATATTTTACATGCAGTATAGCAGATTGTTAAGAGGCAACAGGCAGGTATTTGAGAGAATTTCCTCTCTGTGATTTGCAGAAGTGTGCCTGAAATCCCCTGGCTGATCTATGCTCATCCCATTACCTGTCATCTTTTGGCAGATAACTAGTTAATTTTGTGTTAAATAGGATTCACTTTGCTATTTCCATTTGCTGTTGGTGTAGAAATGTTCTGATGTGATATATGACCAATCAGTAATTGGAAAGTGCTTGTATGAGGCATTTGAAGCCAGTCATTTAGACAGTGTCAGCCCCAACTGGTATTAAAATCTGCAAAGAGTTGTTCTACAATCAGTGATTCTGCGCATCTCCTCTGGGTGTCTGCATTTCACTTAATAAGGATACCCTGTAGATATCAACTGAAATAACTCTTGCCTTTGTTGCTTGGATGTTTTTGTGAGCTCTGAAATGAACTTGGCTTATGCAAATATACTTTGTTATCCAGTCTAAAGGATGCAGGGCAGAAATTATTATCCTGTTCTGCTGGCCACCTCAGTAGAAAAGAAATGGCTTTATTTGACTGTGATTCTGAAGAGAATAAGAGTGTGACTGTACCCTGTGGTTTCCTGGGTATTTTTTACTTTTTTTTTCTGTACTGATGACGTTCTATTACTGTTACAGGGCTATAATAATCCGAAATGGTGATGTCATTCCAATGTCTTCAGAATTCACTCCAGAGACTGAACGCCAGCGACTTCAGTATCTGGTAAGAGACCTGAGGACCAAAGCAGGTGTTGCTGATGACCAGCATTGCCCAGTAACACCTAAGGCTCAGAGAAATGCTGCCGAGTTACTGTGGCTCAGTGAAGGATGGTGTGTTCACTGAACACCAGTGACTGATGATGTATGTCTTTTAGCCATCAGAAAAAGTGAAGAAAAGCTTGGTGGTGCAAATCTCAGTGAAAGGAGTCTTATCTCTTCCATGAAGACCATTGATATTGCAGAGTTTGATTAATTTATTCCAATAGTATGCTGGTAGTATCTTGATCAGGGAAAATATGTCCAATTTAGAGGTGATCTCAGTGAATATTAGTAGCTGCAGGATAGGATGGGTGATCAAAGACTGCTTTTATTTAGTGTAGCAGCACCCATAAAGCTGGGAGAGGGTGACTATCTGAGGATATATGGGATGCTTTATACACCAGGCTGTATTTGCTGATAAGCTGCCTAAGTAACATAAGTCAAAATGCATAGTGTTATTTTTCATGCAAACAATCCTGTTACTTTTAAAGTTTTTCATCAGTGGTCAGATTGGTTGGTTGAAGTTGGTTGGCTCTTTGTCAAAATGTCATTCCTAACATGGCTGAGAAATTTATTTTGTGCTTCTTCTGGTCTTCTGCTTTTTCCTCTTAGAAATTTAAGCTTTGGCCAAGGCAGGCTCACTGTCAGCCTTGCCTGACTTGAGGTGGACAGGCCAAGGCTAGTGGGATTCCCTGGTCTCAACATGTCTGTTTTCTTCAACCTAGCCCAAGCAATGTGGTTTGAAACTAGACAAAATGCTGATGGTTAAAAGGTGGGGTGGAAGGTTCCAAAGAAAAAATTTTAAGTGTTTCCTCAGGTTCACTGGCTTGAAGCTGAAAATTTCAGAGGGAAAACTGCTTTTAGGAGTATTCATATTCAGAGAAAAAATGGAAAAGAGGCCTAATAAATATTTACAGTTCAGTTAAATTTAAAATAATTTGTTAGCCTTTAAAATAAAAGGTATCTTTAGCATCTAGGGAGTCTGCTACTTCTGTAGGAAATACAAGATAAAATATTGCCTACAAGGATTGTTTTTCTCTTTTGATATCCTTTCTGGCTTGTATTTGAAACCAGTAGCTGATCTGAAAAATATTTCTGCTGTTTTCTTTCTGCTCTGGAAAATTCCTTTACCTTTGTTTGTTTATTTTAATTCTATATATAACAAATATGCCAGATCTGTGGGTATCATGTTCAAAGAGAATACATGCAAGACAGCAAGAGCGTGAAACAAAATTAGAGATCATTTCAAACATCATATTCCATAAATAACATTTTTACTCTGTTAAAAAAAAAAAAAGATGACCCCAAATTTCTTATAAGGTTGGCATAAACATTACACTCCAGAGGTTGCATCTGTCTAGCTGATTAGAAACCAAATAATTTTACTCACTTTGTCTGTCCCCAGGTTCTGCTATCAGTCTATTCCACCATGAACATCTCTCTTCTGCTGTTCCTGTCTAAAAGTTAGTTACTTTGGATGTATTTTTTATTTGCAGTTAGAGCTGCGTTTCTTTGCTTCAAACGTATAGCACTGCTCTTCCTGCACAATAGGAAGAAAATCACTTAATCATTTTAGTGTTCATATTTTACTTGGTAAATGCAGAGATACTGTTCACTGTGGGGAAGTTACTGCACAAGTAAAGGGAGGGTATGGATTTACCGCCTGCAGGCTACTGAGCCTTGGTTCCCTGTGCAGTAGACATTGTTCGCACAATCAGGATGAAGGAGCTTTCCTCTGCCTTTAGTGGCTATTGATTGCTTCAGCCACACAGGAATTTCATTTAGGTCCTCTTTTCTGAGCCTTAATTTCCAAGTGGAAAGAAATCCATAGGATAATGAATTGTTCAGGTCATGTGAATATCTCTATATGAAGTCCTCCAGCCTAGTCTTACACAAAACTGTGCTTCAGCTAGTACTGATTAAGTAACTGAGAGGGAAGGGAAACAAATATTTTCCCTATCTGACTGCCATTTTAATGCGCATTTATTGCCATGCATCCAAGAATGGCCTTGGGCATAGGCCTCTGGCATGGAAACCTTAAAAGAACAAGTTGACTATCCAATCATTCGGACTTTTAAGCAGCTCTAGGCATGGTCATCACTCCATAGGAGGGCAGTGGGAAGACAGCATACAGCTGCAAATTTCAGGCAGATCGCATGGCAGAGACAGATTTCTGTGTCAGGCAACTTGTGAGAGTATTGCAGAAGGCAATCAATCTTTCAGTCAGAGAGTACTTCTTAAGACATAGGTGTGAAAGCTTTGCACCAGTTTTCCCTTGGTCCTTCAGCTTCTGTAGAGGTTCAGTGCACCATGCTGTTTCCTCCCACTGGCAGGAATTCACAAGCCTCCTTTTCTTTTGAATTTCTGTGTCTCTTTTCTTTTTAGCACTGTAGCAGGAAAGCTCCACACAGCCCTTGGGAAAAGCCCTGGCTTTCTGTATCGGTATATCTTGAGGGAAAACAAAATCCAGTATTGACTGGGAATTGCTCTGGTACATTTGGCAGTTGTGCAGGCAGTGACTGCCAGAAGGAATTTTTCTTTCATCTTCTGAGGAGACTATTAATTTCAGTCATGATAGTCTAAATTGCAACAGTAAATGGCATAGATTTTGTTACTTATTACCTTGGAAAACATGTTTTAAATGAATGATGAATTGAGTGTGCTGCAGATGGGTGCACTTCTATTAATTATCAAAGTTGCTCATTGAAGATGTCATGTGAGTTCTCCGTGGTGTTAGCATGTACCGTGGCTGTGTGTGTAGTCAGGCAGCCCCTCAAAAGTTCACCAAAGATGGTGCACCATGACTACCAGGGCAGGTGTTACTGCCAGTAGAGACAGGGTGACCACCAGCGGCAGTGAGCCATGGGTGCTCTTTGTGTTTGGCACCATTCAAACAAAGGTTCATGAGCCCAGATGGGCATGGGCTCAAAGAGGACCTATTCTTATTTCATTACTCAGATGAGGATAAAGTGATACTAACTCACCTGCTGAAGGATGCCTGGGCAATCTGAGTCTGAAAAAGAAATGCACCTAGATCTCCTAAATGTCCAGTCAATGCTTCAGTTACAGGTCAGATGTAATTCTCTTACAGCTTGTGGCTCCCTGCATCACCCAGTGTAGGATTGCTTTGGCCATCTGACACATTGCATGATGCTGTGGTATAAAAGATGCGTGCTTCTATGAAAAGGGTCCTGGTCTTTCATAAGATGAGAGACCAATCCAGGGATGGATTTGGCTTCTACTTCCCTCTTTCCTTCTACTACCACTTCCTTTAGTTTTAATCTCTCTTTTGCTTAAACGTGTCCATATGATAATGGCAGAATCATGTGCAAAACTTCTGGGTGCATTGTGCTGTGTGTGCCATTGTGAGTGGTAGTTTCATATAGTAGAACATCCTATTGGAGAAAAGGGCACAGTATGATAAGAGTATAAAGCTTTAAGGTATAGTTGATGTAACCAGGAATTCTGAAAATAACACAGAATACAGTAAAGCCACTGTTGCCAGTGATGTTCCAGTGCAGTGCGTACTGGAGGAACTGGGAAAGACATCAGCAGGCCTTATTGAGGTAAAAAAAGATACATGCTGTGTTTCCTGCAATCTAATTCACTGACAGCTAGTGTGCAAGTCTAAGTTTATCTTAATTTCATGTTTGCTTTTCTGATCACCAGGAAACACAGCAGGAAGTAAATGACCTTTTTAAAGAACTGTGACTAATATTTCCTTGAGCAAAATCCATTTTAAACAACTAATGTTGAGCGTAGTACATCCAGCCACAAAATACACCATAAAATGGCAGAGTAACAAAAACACATGGTGCAGGTTATGCCAGATTTATACCAAAAAGCTGTAATAGCTTCTGAAAGAGAAAATATGGAAAATGTTCCCATTCCGTAACACAGAATAACAATGTTGTCTGAACCTAGCTCATAAAGAAGGTGTTTGATAGTCACTCTTTTTATTAAAGTTTAAATTCTCTGGGTGATGTTTCTGATCTGGGGTTCTTGCAAATTGAGACTAAACAAATTAAAACATGGAAAATATGGTACCTCATCACAGGTGAAATTCTGCTAGTTCACTTACCCTTTATATTCCTCATTTGATCACTTGAGGGAATTTTGTGTTGTCTACTTGTATATCTTCTTGAAAGATCTGTAGGTTTTTAAAGTGTTGCTTTTTATTTATTTTCTAGTTCTGCTGCCCAGCGTGGTTTGGTTGAGGTGTAGAAGAGTCTTGCCTCATAGTAAATGGAGAACAGTTCTCAACAAAACCAACTGGAAGTCACAGCTGAATTTTATAATAGAACATTCTTCTCTCTGTAGAATTACCAGTGAAGCATCAAAAATAACTGTTCAAAAAAAGGGTAAAAAACATGGAGAATTAAGAAATAAAGCAAAGCCTAACAAAAATCACCATTTCTTCACATAAGAATTCAGATCACAGACACCAGAAGCTTCCAAATTTTTCTTTTCCCTCTGTTTCACTGGCGCCAAAAATATTAGAATCGAGTTAAGATCCCTAGATTGTAAGTCAAGCATTGAGGCTTGGCCATGGAAGAGAAATCTTATTTGAACATTAGCAGTCCACTGGTAACTGCCAGTTTTATTAATCTTATTTCAGTTGTGACCTCAGACTTTCCATCTGAGTAAATCTTTATGAAATGCAGTCTCTCCCCATCACTTTACCTTTTCAATAAAGGAAATTCTTGTTTTCAAGTGGAAAAATGCTAAAAACCTGTATTGTTTTTCTTCTGGACCTGTGATTCAGACTAGTAAGTAATCTCACAATCTAAAGTTTAGATAACTTCATTTTGATGTCTATTAAGGTTTTTTTCCTTAAATAAGACTTCTCATTTTGTAGGCAGGCAAAAGTAGTCTTTAGCTAGAAGTGGTTTGTAATGTTTTAATTAAGACAGGCTGTGCATTTTTAAAAGTGAACTGAATTGCACTTTCAAAGCAACTGAATTGCACTTCATTGTTTACAATATCATAAACTAGAAAGAATTAAAAAAAATACCAAAAACATCCACTTCTTTGTTGTCATACAAACAACAAATACCATTCATGTGTTGTGATGCATCAAATCATTAGGAGTGTTCCATCTTTTTTGCAACTGGAGGAAAAATAAATAAAATAAAAAACTTACATGTACTTTTAAATAGAGAGTCCAGAGTTCTGAAAATATGAAAAGCCTCATATGGACTAATACTGCTGGACCTCTCAAAAGTCATTCATGCTTCTGAACCACTTTTCTAATGAGGAACAGTGATCCAATTAGAGGATCCTTGAAAACAATATTTGGGTGGAGAAGGGGACCTTGGCTGACTGTAGACTGCAGGAAAAAAATGTATTTCCCTTAACTGTACGTAGAGAACTTCTTGGAGCTCCTGCTCCGGAAAGGGATCACAATGTCAAGATCACACTTGCATGCTTGAAAGCCACCTCTTGAAAGCAGAATCCAGTCTTGTTGGCTGTACACAGCAATCTCCCTCAGTCCCGTTTCAGCTGAGCTCGAGGTGTTTTCTGGAAGGATGTCTGGTGACAGGAACAGGGAAAAGCTGATAGAAGATTAGTATTGTGATGTGTTGAGCCTGATCCAGCGAGTGGAAGCAGGCTCAGCCCTTAAGTGCAGGAAATATTTTATTGTGAACTATCTGCATGATAGATGCTAGGTAGATCAATAAGGGCTTCCACTGCTTCCTGCTGCTCACCTTTGATGAGCACTGGATTTATGACAAACCCACAAACTAAACCCAGCTCATTTCACTTGCCTTGATGGCAGCTGCTGCTGAAGATAAGACAGACTTTATTGCCTTAACTGGCTGGATAAGGAAAAAGAGTTACCTGCAAAAAAGTTAAGAAATGCAACTTTTTCAGTTCCTGAGCCAATTTGACTGTGTCTTCACAAGAGCTTGCTCACAATGTGGCTTCGAGGAGGGAGAAAGGCTTTTTTATTAAAGTATTAAAGAAAAAGGAGTGAGGTTTATTTCAGAAACAAGAAATAGAGTATGTTTAGAATTAACCTATTGTGTTGAGTGATATGTGTATAAATTCAATCCAAAAATTTAGACAGTGGACAAATTGCCTCGAGATGCTCTTCAGTATGGTCAGCTCTGGAGAACATGAGCCTTAGGCATGACTCTGGCAAAGAGGCCTCCCAGCATCTGAAGAGCAGTACACCAGAATGTAAAGCAACAGCATTTGAACATTAAAACCATCAAAGATGCTAATTGCGGTTGTGACACAAAACTGCTGCTGCTTTTCTTAAAGTCTATTTTGCATGAAGGAAATAGTTTTTAGAAACAAGACAATAAATTGCTCTGCAGCTTGTGATTATTTGCAGTATCACGTGTGATGGGGCGCAGCACACTGAGCAGGTAAAAGAGGACGTTTTTCTTGAGGTGGTGACAGTTAAAGTGTGGTAGTATTGTGGATTGTGTGTGTTGTTGGCATAGCTGAACTGGGAGTCAAAAAGCTTCAGCTTCATTCCACATGCACTCCTCCAAGTCTCTGCTTGCTCCATGGCTTTATATTCGATCATTTCATTCTCTCAGGTTGATAACATACTAAAGGAAATACGTTCTGTTTTACAAAGCCCTGCAGACTCCTTCAGGGTCAGCAGGTGAAGTGTACTGTAGAGATCCCAAATTTTGAAGAGCAGGGAGAACTGAATGATTTTGAGGGCAAGAGGACTGCTCCTTATAAGGCTGCTGTTGGACACCAGGCAGGGTCAGAACTGGTGTATATGCACATTGTTTGCTGAAATGGAGCACATCATCTTCCTTATTTAAAAAGAAGGGTGGAGGAAGGGTTGGAATTTGTGTGGGAAGGGAGCAGGAAGGGATGGTAATACTACCTCATTAAAAATAGATAATGTCTTTTTTTATGTGGTATCTGTGGTTTAATTTCTGCCCACAGGCTTACATGCAGCCCCACTTGCTGGGAAATGAATTCACGCATTTAGAGTTTCCACGGAGGGTGCAGCGCAAGGAAGTTGGAAAGAGGATGCTCTACCGTGACTTCAACATGACTGGCTGGTAAGAATGTGTCCTTCTCAGCATGGAGTGAGCCTTCTCCCTAACCAATGCCTGCTTTGACTTTGATTAGTGTAAACTGGTCAACCATGGAGGTGCACCCCTGCATACTAAAAGAAAAGGCATTTCCTTCTTTCAGATGTATCTTTCTTTTAGAAGTTAATGTTTCAAATAAGTTGACCTTCCCCCAGAGCCAGGACGTTGTTTTGTTTTAATGTGGGAGTACTCAAAGCAGAGCAAACACATAAAGGAGAATGCCAGGGAATGTTTCTGAAAGCTAAACAATTTTCCTATCTTGGAAGTAGCTCTTTGTAAATTTTGGATCAGAATCTGGGCTGTGATGCCTTTGCATGCTGAGGAACGCTTGCAGAAGGGAAGAGTTGCCTCCCATACTCCAGTGCAGCTGGCCCCTGATTTGGGTAATTCCTTGAGGAATTGTTTTAGAGATGGGGTTATCTGAACAAAAGTCATAACCAACCCAAAATGAAAAGGTTTGAATGAACAACATAGACTTAAAGAAGTGAAGACAGAAAGAATGATGATTTATTTTTTTTTTTGTCTCTGGATAAACATCTTCATTGTTTTTTATTGGTTTAAGAGGCTCCTTCTCAAGTGACTCCCACTCATTTGGAGAAGCCCTAATCTTTGCTGTTTTGAGTTCTGTGTGTGACCTATAAAGGCAAAAGCCCAATATATGCGAATGGTCTTCATTTCCGTGATGCTGTGGTTTAGCCTCTGTAGTAAATGTCCTTTGAGGAAGAATAGAGGGGGTTAAAAAATAAAACCTGAATTCTTGTAGGTTTGGAAACTTGTATGCTCACTGGCAACAACAGCTCCACATCACTTCTGATTTGTCCCATACTTTATAGACCATAAATATAATGATGTTTTAATGGCAGAATAATGATCTAAGTTTAATATTATCGGGAGTGTTTGTGCAGAACATGTAAATCTGGGAATAACCATCATTGTCTCTCATCTTGAACAGCTGCTAGTAGAATATGCAGTCTCACCCTGGGAATGATGACTTCACATTTTAAAAAGGCTACAGGCATGAAAAAAAGAATAGGAACAGAATGAGAACATTGGATTAACTGAGGACTTAGACTGCAAAACATTTGGAACATCATGAGACACTCTCCCAATTTCTGCAAAAGGAGGGTTTTTGTTAAACTCCCTGATGTCTCTGGAGGCATCAATAAAGAATGGTTTCATGTAGACTTCCAAAAGTTCTTTTTCAAGCTGTGACATGCTATTGGGGAAAAAAAAACCAACAAAATGTAGCCTTCTAGTCTGGGGGAGAGCTACAGAAGTATAATGGGCCAGGAACTTCCTGAGAGGAGGGTAAGAACAGATTTCTTTTATCATAGTTGGAAGGCAAAGAGGGTTTCTTCAGAGATATGGGAGTTGTTTTGCATTTTCCCAGTTGGCTACTGGTCTGGAAAAGAAATGAGTCTAGAATGGTAAAGCTGCAGCAGTAGCAGGTAACACCACAGCCCTTTTCCTATTAAACAAGAAGGACCATGAGGAACTGGAAAGAATTAAGTGATTTATGTGGGTGGGCATCACAGTGATCAAACTTGGTGGGGATAAATACAAAGTAAAGCACAAAGAGGAAAAAGATGTTTGTGCACACTAGAGGTTCCAAATGAACCATGAGAGCCATGTCAAGAAGCTCGATGTGCTTACTACCATGATTTTTCCAGACCAAATCACCAGCAGAATGTTGGGATTCGTACAGAATGGTTAAAATGGAAAGGTTAAAAATTAAGAGAAGAAATAATTCCTTATATCAGTTTCTACCTCATTTATGAATCTATGCATAGCACTTCAGCATATTCAAAATGGTTATTGCATAGCTAATACTGTTTGGCATTAGAAGAAAACAGATAAGAAGAAACTCAAATTTTAAATGTAGAATAAGGAGTAAGGTAGAAGAGCATTAGTAAGTTGAACTGGAAGATCTGATTTAGAGTATTGTTTTCCAGTACTGGTGTGTGAACTCTCTTAACTCTAGCATATAGTGGGTAGGAGAAGACAGTTCTTTCCTGTTGTTTTTTATGAATTTCCTGAAGTGTAGGACACATGTTGATCCAGTTACAGATTCTAATATGGTCAGTGCAGCAATTGTCACCAATTGAGTACAAATGTGCTTAGCTGCAAGCAGTTACTCTGGAATAAATGCTTGCACTATGACTTGAAAATTTAAGTCTGAATTTATTGCAGTATTGTCCCAGAAATAAGTGGTCTGTGCCAAGCAAAAGCATGTGGAGACTGTGATGAGGCTCTCTCTCCCTGCTGTTCCTTTTGACTTCTGGCTGGAAATGAAAAATGGGGGCTACATTTTTTTCCTGAATAAAAGAATTTGAATCTTTTAACTGCTCCATATCTCACAGCTAGTGCATCAGTTACCTCTTTGTTTGGTTGCCTCAGGACAATAAAATGATGAGGGAATTGCTCTATCGCCATACATTTGTCTAAATCAGAGCCCTTCTAAATAAGGATCTATTTCTTTTTGCAAGGTATTTACCCAATGTATTTCTATTACATTGAATTGTGTACAGTGATCTCTTAAGCAGAGGAGAAGCAGCCAGTTACTATTCATCTAAAAGTCTGGGTCAATTTTAATGATTGAGATTGTGGACAAGACATTAGAGTTCCAGTTTAATGGGCCCTCAGAGGTGAATGTTTGGGGTGGCTGGGGTTTCCTACTGGTTGTTTTCCACTTCAAGTGTTTTGCTTCTCTTTTCTTCCCTTTCTAATTCATGGATTTAACTGAACAAAGTGGCCAAGGACAAGTCTGTTTTGCATTTGTTTCTAAGGACACTATCTACCACGGAGAATAAATTAGCATATATATTCCTTTTCTAGAAAATGTCAGATGGAGCTTTGGCCAGCCAGAGCTTGATCCACTAAAACACTGCTGAACTTTTATCACATACAATACAGATGATCAGTTTTCTGAATTTTTTTTTGTTCATTGACCTCACTGTGTGTTGATATCTGCACATGTAGAGAGATACAGGTGATGTTAGGAAGAAACAGCCACTCTTACACTTAATTACTAAATCCTTGAGTGAGAGAATGTAAAACACTCTCTGGTCTGATATTTCCTCAGGAAAATGAACTGTTTTATTTTACAATTCAGGATACTATCTGTGTTTTCTATTAGAAGCTGTATGATTTTTTTTCTTCATTTTTATCCTCCTCCTTTGCTCCGGAGCTTTTCAGATTCTCAACAATGGCTTGGCTTGACCAGCTTGTTTGGATTACAAAAGGTTATTGTCTTTGGGTCTGTCATGATGCATTTGGCCCTTTATTTTTTCTTTCTGCTTTTTCTTTCTTTTTTTTTCATGTGAAATTTCCACACTGGCTTTGTCTCCACAGCCCACAGTGGTAGCAGAGCTGCCAAGTTTCCCCACAGCATCAGGACAACCACTGATCCAGCAATGTGTACTGCATTACTGGTCCAGGCCGCCTGTAACTGCTTTGAGACTAGCCTTTCCCTTCTCACTCCAGCTCTCCTACCCTTTCTCCTCTCTCTGTGGTGGCAGTTGCGATGAGAAATAATGCTGTATTAAATATATCTAAAATAAATCCCTTTTTGGTGGGAGCTGAGAGCTGTGTCTCCTGCACCCCATCTGCATTGTGGTTGAACAGCCATTGCAAAACATGTACTGTAGCTGGCAAGGCATCTTAAGAGCAGCGTCTCCTGCTGCACAAGCCTCCGAGCTGTCTCAAGCCATAATTTGCTGGCAGACATCTGTGTTACTGAGAGTATTTCACAGCTGGGTCTCTGGGCTGGGGTTTTCAGGCCCATGGCTTGCAGAGGTTAAACTTGTATCAGAGGGAAGTGTCCTGGTGACTTTGGTAAGTCCTGGCAACAGAAGTATCAGGGAAGAGTTAGAGGCCATGTAAGCAGAGAGTGGCTAGTGCTAAAAAGGGGGGGCGAGTAACCTGAGGTAGAAATATATGGCGAGAGAACAGCAGACCTGATGATAACTGCTCCTTTAAAGGACTGCACAGAATTAGTGCTCTCTATCTCTGCCTTTTATTTAAAAGTTAAGACACAGTTGGTCACATTTTCTTCACTTGTGGGTAAATCCAGTGTGAGCAATTTTGAAGTACTTTGCTTTGACTAGATCCTAGACACCTTCCCAAAACCTGGTTTTCTGTCTGGCTGTGGCTCTGCTGTGGCTCCTACCAGAGTTCCCTTCTCAGCCTTACATGGGGCTGGAGGAGTCATTCAGTGCTGCACTTAACTAAAGGCATCCAGAATGCACTACCAACTGGCATCAACTTTGGTGGTTTCAAAGTTAGTTTTTTTGCTCTTCCTTGGAACAAAAACAGTAGCCTTTCTAGTGCTTGCACTGACGTGGAGTTCTTTAAATGTTTGTTTCCAGATCACGGCTTGAGCTTTTTGACTTGATTTTAGTGTGGCAAAAAAGCCCTGGATAATAAGTCCATTTTTGACCTTATTTGTTGGTGGCTTCCTTTGCCCTCTGGGATCACACAGACTTGAGCTGCACCCCATCAGAAATTGTCTGAGCTGGTGTAGTGCCCACCACACCATGGGCTAAAGCCCAAGGCAGAAGCGAGCAGGGGAATTGGGCACTGCCTCTGAGTGCACCATCTTTTCAGCAGCAGCAGAGCCCTTGCCAGCTCCATGTTCCTGTGTCTGGTGAGGGGGTGCTGTGGCACATGGGGTTTCCCACCCGAGGGTCAGCCGGTGCTGGGGAATCACCCGCCCGCATGATTTATTCCAAAGCAGGGAAGCTGGTGCCCTGAGGCAAGCACTAAGCAAAACCCATTTTATTCTAGAGTCAATATTGTCCACTGCCTGGAAAGCTGCCAACCTGCTCTGTGCTCGCCTTTTTCTTTCCAACAGGGAATGTCTTTCAGCCTCTAAGCATCTGATTAAAAAAGCAACTTCACTTTTCAAGCCGTTTTATTTTGTTTGGGATGGATGCCTTTTGCTTTCATTGTGCAGTCTGTCTTGCCGTCTGCGGTTCAAACTCTGGCTCACAAAAACCAGGCTCTCATTAATCACTTATTGGGGATCCAGAATACCCTGGTGAGAGCCAATGTGCATGTTTTGCTTGGTAATGTGTCAGCTGATTTGAACAAATATTGCTAATGTGGCCACTATCTTTATTGCTGAGCTCAATGTCCTTTGGCAGCACATTCAGGTAGCCTGCCCAAGGAGTGCCTGAGCAGGTTGAGAAATGCCACAGAAATGCTTTATGGAGCTGGCGCCTGTGCTGCACCCTCCTTTAATATAAATTGATTTATTGAATCAAGCACAGAAGCCCTGCTTCAGAAACCTCAGGCTACAGTCTCTGGAGAACCACCTAATAAAACAGCCCCAACTGACATTCCTCATTAGCTTTTCCACTGATCCCAAGGCAGTATTTAAAGTGACAGTGTCCCTCTTTTTGGCCTGAATTTATCTGCTGGGTAATGCCTGTGGGTCTAATTAGCTTAGCATTATTAGTCTTATTCAGATAAGCTGTATTTCCTAACAGCTTGATTCCAACTTGTAAAAAGTAATTGGAAGTCTGCAAACCTGCTTGATTGAGCCTTTTAGCCAAATTCATGTAATTTACAAAAAGTCGTCCATTCCCCCCCCTTTTTTTTAATTGAGCTTTTTTGTCTAGTGAAACCTTCTGCTGAAATCCTCGCTGTATTGTTGTGTTCAAGACCTCAGCCGTATCCTTTGTACAATCGCCAGGGAGAGATCAGATTTTAATTTCATAATTACTTCACGAGAAAGCAACCTTTTCCCCAGTCATGCCTGGTATTAATTTTCTTCCAGCAACTTACATTTTCATAATTTAATGATTATGGGACACCTTTGCAGCACTGGGCCTTTCTGGAAGAGAGAGAGAGAAGATAAAATTTTTGCAGCAGATACCATCCACAGCCACTTGCCTTGGTTTTTGTGTTTCTGTTCTTGTTTCTCATTGCGAGATAGCCAGGAGTGGGAGGGGACATGCCTCTTTGGTGCACACAACCAGAGCAGCTTGCTGGGTTGTGCCTGGGTGTCTGGGGCACAGCTCTGTGATGATGAATGGCTGTTTGCAATGTGCATGTTATGCATCTTTTCAAGATTTGCAGCCCTTGCTGCAGGAGCAGCAGGAGGTGAGAGCTGACCTGCTGTGTACAGCACGTCTCCTGACAGTGACAAATGGCTCTTTTCCCCGAGTGTGCACATGCCACAGGAGCTGAGCCAGTGTCTTTGGGGCAGGAGAAAGCAGAAACAGGAAAGTAATAGCACTGCAACAAAAGAGAAAACTTAAGTCTGTGGTAAAGCTCTTTGTAAATAGCCTCTCTGGGGCCAAGTGAGAGCAACAAGAATGAGGTTGGTCTGAGTCATGTCCTGCAAGAGCATCTCCTTTTGGAAACAGTGCATCTAAGACCTGTCCCTGCACAGCTGTGTGTCTCTGCTTGGACTTTGCCTTGGCACGAGATCAGGTGCCACATATGCAAGGGCAGACAAAAGGCCCCCAGTCTATTTTATCTAAAGGAAACTAAACTGAAATGAGGTAATGATGTGATGCTGTAGTATCTGCACACAGTTTCTGTTACTCAGTAGTGGAAGCTCAACGGGTCACAAGCAGTGAATGAAAGCACTTGCTCTGTCCCTCCCAGCCTCCTAAGCACAAAAGCAGCAAAAGAGAGTGTTTTTTAAATACTCTCAGTTAATTTTTTTTCCTGATTTGTCTTTTTTTGGGGCAAGGACCTCTATAGATGCTTGAGATTCTTGACCATCCTATCCCTGACTTTTCCTCTATCACTTTCTTGTAATGCTTCATTAGAAGTGAGTGGACTAAAAAATCAGCCACCCTCTAGGAAGCGCCTGAGAAAAGATTCTGGTGCTTGAATCTTTAAAATGGGCTGACCAAGATGGATAGTTTGTTTTCCTTAGGAATTACTTCCACAGGAATACACGGTGCTGGTGCTCTCTGAAATGCAGACTCCATCTTACAACTGCACCCAACAATGAAGGCTCCAGAGCTCACGTACCAATCTGATTTGACAAACGCTGAGATACTTTAATTTTTTTCTTTTTTTTTTAATTTGTAGGTGGGTAGACAGAACTGGGATTTGCAAAATGAAGCATTTTACAGTTTCAGGTTCATAAGAAGGGGTTTCTGAATTTTTGGGGGAATAATGTGTGTTTTAAAACTTGCATGTCTTCTTTTTTACTTGAAAGAAGCCCTATGAGAGTATCTTGGTTTAGAGTAGATCTTCCTCTAAAAACTGTTTTGTGCACATGTGCATGTGCATCGGTCTTTAACTGATTTGGGTTTGCCATCATCTTTTCTCTTAACAAACATTGCTATAGTTTGTGTGCTTTTCTTATCTTGTTTATTGTAATTTTGCTTCATTAAACTATGTGTCAGAAGAGCAATAGGGGAAAGATACCGAGATACTGGATCATTAGAGCCAACATACCTAGAAGGTACTTAGAATCAGACAGTGCTGTATGGATTTAGAGATCCCGACTCTGCAGAAGCACATGCATAATGATATTTTTTAAGATTATGTCTGGGTTGAGACATAAATTGCATAATTTTCAGTGGCTCTGTGCCTAACCTGCACTACACATCTTTTCTTCTTGATAGTAAGCACTACACTAGTTTAATGCCCATAGTTCAATAGACAGTACAGATAACAGTTCCTTTTGGGCTGGTGATTTAAGCTCTGTTATCCAAAGGGTGAGTTCCAATCCACTGATTCCTTGTGTGGGAGGGGAAAAAATGAAAGAGTTTCTATCAAGTTTTTTGTTGTTTGAGGACTAAAACCTGGTTTTCTGTTGATATGACCAAAGAGAGTTGAGCTTGGGGAGGAGGTTTTTGGATAGTTGGGGTAGTTTTGTTGTGAGCTGGGTTTTTTTGGGTGAGGGGGGAGTGGGGTCAGCTGGAGGATGTTTGGGGATGGTCCTAGGTTTGGGGTTTTTTACAGAGGTAGCAAAGCGGTGCTAGAAATACACGAAATCTACAAATCGTTTGAGAGATTCTTTTATCTTTGTACTCTGTATGAACTAGGACGTTTCTGAAGCAGTAGTACTTTCTCTTGCTTGCTTGCCACAAGTGGGTTTATTCTGTGCTTCAAGCTAAAGCCCTTTGATGTTGATTTTTTTTTTTTTTTGCTCTTCCTTAGGTTTAATTCTCAGTTTACTGTCAGGTGTCACTAGCAGAGATGTGAAACACAGGCAAACTTTCTAAAGCCAAGTGCCATGGAAAAGCAGAGCACAGAGTCTGGATTCCCCTGTTGTGCACAGAACTGAACCTTCTAGGTCAGGGGTAGATTGTCTTTTCACCACCATCTGTTGTGTGTGGGAATGCCAATGCAATACTTTTCATGACCAGGAACCCTACACAGTTTGCTGTGAAATAAAATATAGTATGGATTTGGGTTTGGGTCATCAACAACTTCTACTCTTATGAGAATTTATATGTCCTTTCAGAAGGCAAATGTTAAGAATAAATTTCATGACAGGAGAACTCATAACACGTAAGATATTATCTAGAATTTTGGCTCTGAAATCTGCATGTGGGAGCTTACCGGTTTTTCAAGTTCTGACCCAGCAATATGCAGGTAACTTTGATAATCTTTTATTTAAAGAGTACCTAAAGCACTGCTAATGACTTCAACACTGTAAGAAACTTCTTCCATAGATTGTGTTGTGCATTTAGCAGCTTCTGGTGATTTTTTTCACCATGCATTTAGAGCAGATTCCAGTTAGCATATGAGTAACATCATGTCAGTCCTAGTTCTTTTGTTCTGACATCTCTTTTGGCTCCTGGTGCGATTTGGCCCGGTTTTCCAAAATGTTGATCCTGAGTCCAAATGTAACTTTGTGGGTGGTACATATGTCAAGCCCTAGTTCAGTATTTTTGGACAGCAGTAACATTTCATAATTCTTTTGAAATGGAAAGAAGAAATGAAGTTAACTGAAAAAAATACAGCTAGATTCAGCTGGGTAGAAGCTTGCCTTTTCTACTGCCCCCTCTGCTCCCCCTGCTTTTCCATTTGGAAAAATAGAGGTTTACGTGGCAGAAGCACTTAACAATATTTAGGCTCATTCAGAGCAGGAAGCAATAGCATTGAGTTGTCTTTATAACCTTTCTTGTCATGCCCCGGTGGCCACCGAAACCTCCTGGGGTGTGGACCATGAAGATAAGGGAGAGTGGAGGGTTGCAACATTGTGTTTTTAGAACAGTGAGCTAGCTTGAATTACACAGAGGGCTGAATAAGGCCATGTAGGCACTTAGAAAGCCAAACCATCCCCTCAGGTTCTCTGTGTGTCTGTCTTTGATATACCTACAGCACATGAAGGTATAAATGCAACTATATCACATAAAATCAAGGGAAATAGTCCAGAAGGTTGTAGCCTGTGCGAAATAAACCCATGCACAAAGTACAGGAGGTTTCACAGGGCATAAATTAAAATGAACTTCATAGCTTCCTTCCTTCCATCTCCCCTGTGCAGCTGCTGAGCTGCTAGCTGAAAAGCTGTCCTTCATCCTTCTCTTGCAGCAAACCACACACTCGTATATTATTAATTCTGTTTCTCTAGTAATGCAGGACAAGGGTACTTTTCTAGTGTGTCTCCGGTTGCTTTTCAGTGTGTCTGTGCCAGCTCTGCTGCTGTAGTTGCAGTTCTGAGCATTGTTTCTTCAGTGCTAATAATTTTTCAGACAATAGCAACAGAAAACATGTTTGAGTTGAGTTTGACACCCAAGTTTTGAGCCCAAGAGGTGACTTCCTGTGAGAAACCACAAAACAAATCACTGTAGCTCTCTGCACCTCCCTCACCTAGATGCATAGCTTGAGGAGGTCACAGGCTAACCAGCTGCTCTTCCTAATCTCCTGATGGAACAAGTTAGCTGCAGCCCTTGCAACAAGGCCTCTTCCAGCGTGCTTGCACCATTGTGTCACAGTTGAAGGCCCTAGAGTCAGTGCTCCTTATAATGGTTCCATAAAAGATGCTAGACTCAGCAGTGGGGACCATTCCTTTGAAGGACACCAACCTAAATGATACTTTTCCTTCTTCCTAAAGTGCAGTCGCTGTGAGGTGTTATGCAGGAGAATGTAAGGAAGAAGGGGAGAGAGGTAGATAAATTTGGTCCGTGTTTTTGGCTACTTACAGGGCTTTGATCTTAAGTATTTGTAGTTATCTTGCAGATAATATAGTTTTTTGGTAAAGAATAGGTGTATTTTTCCTTTAAAAAGGGGGCCGCAAATAGTTAAATCACATCATCTTAGTTTTGTTTCATATTTTAACAAATATGTACAAAATTTGAAAATCCAGTAGGAGTGGTTGTCTTCTCGGGCTTCTGGTTTGATTAGTCGTTTGACTCTGATGCCCAAAACAGACTCAGCTGATATTCTTTTTGTTGGTGTCAGAGCGCATCTGGCTCTATGCAAGGAATAGTTCAGACTCCTCAAGGAGGTTTTGTCAGGGCTCACGGCCCTGTAGGTCCAGCTGGAAGCTTTGGAACATGAGTAGACAGGGATAGTAAAATTTTTGCTCCACATTCAAACAAGGCTATTCAAGTTACTCAGTGAGGCAGAGATGTTAGCTATTCCCTCTTGAAAATAAAGGAAGGAACAAGAGCAGAGTCCATGACTGACTCATCCTTCCCAATAAAATGCTATTCCAGGATTTAAACATCAGGGAAGTATTATCATGTTGGCTACTTGTAGTGTTTTCTTCCTCTTTGTTTGGTTTAAGAGCTAATTTATTTGCCATCTGCAGTGCAAATTGCCATTTAAATGCCTTCACTGTATTGTGTTTTGTAGAGATGCCCAGGTATTATGGTTATATACTAAAATATTCTTAACTACATGATCTCCCATGAAGCACCCACTGTGTTTTGCAAACCTCACCTGGTTTTGTGTTGGGATTTTGTACATAGTTATGTTTTGTAGTATGGAAGGGGAGTCCTCCACTACTGTTTCTTCTATGTATTTTGGTTGCATTTCCCTTTTTTCTTGCCCCTCCTCTCACGCGCAAAACCCTAATATGAGCCTTCCGGTGATTACTGGGAAACATAAAGGTGGGGCTTAAATGTCTGTGCTGTCTCATTAAGCCTGAGGCTTGCCTGGGTGATGCAGCATGTACAGCTGTGTAGTACAGCACCATTTATTGATCACAGGGATATGCTATATTTTGGTGAAGCAGGGGGCAGTTCAATTACAATATAGGATTTCACCCTTAATTTTTAATTTCCTGCTGGTTTATGTCATGGTCTTAACATTGCTTAAACCTGATCAAATGTGACTCCCCAGAGCTCAAGCAGCCAGCCTGGAGAGCTGGGGAGCTACACAGCAGGGGTTGGAAGTGTTGGCAGGGGACCTGCCACAGCACCTTCCCTCCTCTCACAAGTCCCTTCCACTTCTGTGGAGAGCACTTGCTGCTGCACTGGGGATGATTTTAGTATTGCCCCAGGGGCTTTGGGCATGGATGAGCCAGGAGGGAAGCACAACATACAGGGAAAGGCTGAGGAGGGACAATTTTGTCCTGTGAAGGAAAGCATGCCCCTCTGGGGCAATGTGCTTTCATGAAAGAGGCACCCCAGTACCTCAGCTCAGGTATGTGTTACACAAACCACAGGACTCTACAGCTTATGAGAGTGACTGTCATCTTTTTTTTTTTTTCCTCACTGGCAAAATTGCTAACCTTCTCACCTCATCAGTGTCAACAGCTGGATGTGTAAAAGGTAGAGTATGCAGGTATGCAGTAAACAGAATCAGAGCATGAGCATTTACTTCTCTTGTCTCTTGTCCATGGGAAAGCTGCTGTGAAATGTGAAACCTCTGACAACCTTGCAGTCAAGGTCAAATGAGCACTAAATATCCTAAGACTCTTCAGCACATGAAGCTTGTCTCGGTTTAAGTGGTCCTGGAAGGTGAGAACAGGATCAGAAAGCTGCTTCACACCATGACTGTGTACATGTCCTGTTGTTGCTCATCTTTTCACGTTAACAGTGTGAATATAGGCATTGATTAGTTTCTTGACGGGTTTGGGGTTGTTTTGTTTGTTTTGGTTGGTTGGTTGGTTGGAGTTGGTTTATTTATGACACTGTATTATGGTATAGCTGCTACCATATCCAACCATATCTTACCTCATTAGGATGTTATTGCAGTCCACTTCTTTCTTTGCAAGCAATAGGAGCAGCCTGGTATGTTAGGTATTTCTCCATCTTCACTTTTCCTTTAGGTGAAATGGATAATTATTTACAGAAAACCTTTCTACAGAAAAAGAAATTTACAACTTGACTCAAAGACAGAGTCCCTAGGAAAAATAATGATTTTTTTTTTCTTTTTTAAATCACAGCTGCTTGTTTCAGGGCGCTGGGTCACTAATTGAGTGCAAGCTTTATAAGTGTTGTTTGTCCTCCCCCCACAGGGCATACAAAACCATTGAGGAAGATGACTTGAAGTTTCCCCTTATATATGGAGAAGGCAAGAAGGTGGGCATGTTTGCTTTCCTCAGACCAAAGGAAGAAGGAATTCTGTGCTGTTTACCACTCAGTTTAGCCTGTGGCAGTCCAGTGTTTTCCACTCAGTATCTCTTTATTTTATTGTTTTGACAGCTTTAAAGAATATTTTGATTCTCTCATAAATCAGTTTCATGTCTGGGGGCGGCAGGGAGAGCTCAACATACTAAAAAGCAATTTTATAGCAAACAGTCATTTGTTGTCAGTTTGCTTTTGTTTTTCTCTCATTGTAAGTAGGCTGCAATGAGATTGTCTTAATAATTGACTTAAAATGTTCCTGTTTCATTGTAAAAATAACTAGGCTGGATGAAGATAGCGACATACCTTATGTTTGCTGAAACAAAGCAAGAAGATATTTAATAGTGCTTGAGATGCAAAACTCTAATTTAGGAAGGGGAGGGATCAGGGCAGGATTTGTAAAGTACAACACCCCTTCTTCAGCTAGTGCACATGGAACTCACTGTTGAATTTTTCTGATACATGAAGGTTGATGGTTTTTCTTGAAAGGGAGAAACGCTGTTCCGTTTAGGTATACTTTGTTTCCTGCTCTGTGATTAAGAACAGTGAGATCATTAGTGCTGGTCCTAGCAAGCTTAGCTGGATGCAGCAATAGGATCAATATAAGGGTGCAGTGGTGTCAGTTTGCTAATTTTTGTATGCTTGCTGTGTTTCTAAATAGTGCTCTCCTGCTGCATTAGATTCTTAATTCATGGATAGACATTCTTCAAAATTAGTCTAAGTTTTATAGGTTCAGACCTGCAGCTTATCTCTGAATTTGGTTAGGTTTATAATTATTTGCAAAATGTTTCACGCACGTCTTTTTAATTTACTTTCTTATTGCCTTATGGAGCCAGGATTTAATGAGGCAAAATGATTTCGAGTCCATTGCTCGCTGCTATTGGTGCTGTGAACACCCTTGTTCAGAAGCTGCTGTGGCTAAGCTAGACTTTGGGGGAAGCGATAAGCAGGCCACAGAGAGCAGGGCTCACTGTGAGGCAGCTGCCTGGTCAGTCTTTGGAGAAGCATTAATGAAATAGAGCCCAGCACCTCTTGGGAGAGGAGTCATGTTGCTTGGGGGAGGAAGTAGCAGACCTGGGGTACCTGCAGACCTGCTGTAGACTGACTCTTCACAGCACTATGGTCAGTGCCACTGTCACCTGTGTGTTCAGCAATTTAAGGTGGCCCTTGACACTTTTCCTTGGGGGAGGGAATATACAAAAATATGTCAATAGGAAGATGCCACAGATTCCTTATGTGAGTAATTAAGCTCCTTACCCTCTTTATAAAATCTGTTTGCTAATAGTATAATTTGCTGAAGGAATGTTTCATAAACTACTGGAGAGTGGGGTGACTGGTTTAGGTTTCCACAGTCCCAATCCCTTACAGATGGTCACAGTCTTAAATGGGTGTACACAGAGCGGGATGTAGATGAATACAAAGCTTGGAATAATGAGGAAAATTGAGATGACATGAATGTGAAAAGCTTTGATGTTGATTAGCTCTGTTGAATCTAGAGTTTCTGGGAAATAAAATGGAATTCATCCCCAACTGTAGCAGTTACAGAGTAGGAATTTCCCTGTTGACACAGTGCATGTAACAAGATTTGATCCCATCGCTTTTCTTTATTTCCAGGCTCGGGTTATGGCAACAATTGGAGTGACCCGAGGACTGGGAGACCATGACCTGAAAGTACACGACTCCAATATATACATCAAACCTTTCCTGTCCTCTTCTCCTGAGGTAAAATGGCCAAGGTTCAACTGTCTGATTTGTGAGAGGGAAATAAATTTACTTAGTGTGCTTATTTGTTCTTCTCAATTGTCCATTCCGATTGTGGGTCCAGTACAGGTAACATGCTACCCTTTCCAAAGGTGCAACATGGCAGTAACATCCACATAGTAGGAGCATTGTAAGTTACCAAGCTATGTGCCCTGGCTCTGGTTGCTCCATATCCCTGGCAGAGCATTGATTCCTTCTTGTTCCTGGGTCTGCGGTTATCTCATAGCCTTGCCATTCAGTGTGACAGGCACCCATCTCTCCCCCCACCTTCATGTGCTCCAGCTCCCGTCGAGGCCTTCATCATGGTGCCTTCACAGAAGATGTAAATCCGTGTACTCCAGATGGATGTCTTCCATGGCAGCGTAGTATCCTGCATTACGCAGATAAACTCTTAAGCAGGAAAATGCCAAGAGCCACAGGAAGCATACTTTATGCTTCCATCTGTCTGCTCCTTAACCTTCAGTTCTAAATTCATTATGATAGTTTTGTGCAAACACCAAATAATGAGTGTGCATTCCCAAATGCTGGTGTAATGAGAAGATTATGCAGTATTCAGGTTAGGGGTAGTTTTAAATGCCTCCTTCATTTTGAATTGCTTGTCACAAGCAATTCCATCCAGTTTTTGACCACCAGAGACCTTGCAGTGAAGGATATCAAGCCTTCCAATAGGATTTGAATGTATTTGTTAACAAGGAACATGCAAACCTTGCTCTTTTTTCCTTCTGTAACTGCATTCCTGTTCCTATGTCAAGGAACAGATGTCACATATTTTTCATAAAATATTAAGCAAGGGCAAACCAAATGATGACAGCTTTGCTTCCATGGCCCAAATGCTGAAAACTGTCCACTGTTAACAGGCTTGCTGAAGTTTTAAACATACCCAGTACTTGACCTTGAATTTATTGCTTGCTATAGCAGTATGAGAGAATGAAAACACACAAATGACATCATACTGCTAGGAAGGAACAAAATTATTAAATTAACCTTGCTTAGAACATCTTTAAGACCAGTTTGTTGTGAAGGAGTGCTTTAGGTTGTTCAAAGAATCGCTGGCAAAGCTATCGACAAAAGCAGTTTAATATTAAAATGAAAGTGCAACAAAATTGGCAAGGTTCACTGTACCACTTACTAGATGGTTGAAACACACCGAAAAATTGGAATAAAATCTAAAATCAATCAATCTAAAACTAAAGTCAACTAAAAATTACGTATGTGGAGGCTGGAGACAAAAAAGGATAAGGATGAGAAAGGGTAAGGATAAAAAGGAATAAGCAATACCTTCCCATTGAGTCACAAGGTTCAGAGTGGACCCCCTTGCCAAACTTAGCTCTGGACTTGACCAACAGTTTAGGCCTAAAGGTTTTAACAGCACTTAAATTTAACAACACATAATCGATAGTCTAACTTGAACAATTTAACAAAAGATTCTATAAAATTTACTATGAGCACACAGTAACTCACAGGCTTAACTTATATACAAATGTAACATACTTAAGAATCTAAGAGAGCAACATTCATAGTACATTTGCTACAGCATATTCACACTGATACACACACAGACACGAAGGAATATGTACAGAGTATATAGCTGTGAAAAATTCCTAAATTCAGGGAAGTACTCATGTCGGATGCTTTTGCATCTTCTCAGCAGGCAAAGGGTTGAGCCTTGAGGAGTGGGATATCAGCCAAGGCTCTGTCATTGGTGTTCAGGAATGGTCTTTCCAGTGCAGCAAACTTGAGAGTTCACTGGCTCTGAGAGGCCCCACTCAGAGAGAGATTGCCGGTTGCAGCCCACTGCCATCCCAGGAAGCTCAAAGGGTCTCACTGAAGACCACTGTTTATAGAGTTGCAAGAGAGCTGGCTTTGGTCATAGTAATTTTCTGTTCTGGCTGCAGTTTGGGTTGGTAACTTGTTATAATGTTGTTCCATTTGAGTTGTTATTCAGGCAAGAAAAATAAGTTTCCAAGGCTGTTTGAAAAAAACCAGCAACTTATTAGGCAGCGTAAGTTCCTGGGAGCAGGCAGTGTTTCTGATAAGCTCAAGAGGACCTTAGCCCTGATACTGTTCATCAAGACTGAGGCCTAATGAGCATTTCTGACATTATAATGTAGCCTGAGGAGGGGCAGGGAGGAAGGATGCACCACCACAATCCACCCCTTACTCATGACCACTCATGTGGTCACCTCTTGCCTCTGTGCTTGCAAACAGCAATATAAAAATTATGTATAGTTATTATATATAAATTATACCTGAAATTTCAATTGTAAAAGTAAAAATTTAAAAAGTACTGAGAGATTCTGGCCCTGAAGAAACGGCAGCGATCTACAGACAGCCCCTTCTTCGTGTTTTCTTGCTATCAATCGTGTACCTTCCCTCTCTCCCTCTGAATGTGTGGTGTCCCTCACTTAAGACCTGCTCCTGTTCTCCTCAGACAGATAGGCAGTAGTTCTGGCCTCATCACTCTGATGGATTTGTTTATTGCCAGAAAAATGATGCAATTCTACCTATTTATTTTTCTTTCTGACATGCTGAGACCCAGTGTTTCTGGGGTACATAATGGCTGCAGCACAGCATCCCTGCAGTATCATCTCTGCCAATTGCTGCTGCAGTATTTGTCTGTGTGTATAAACCAAAGCTTCTCATGGGCTTTTCTGATTTGTGTGGAATGTGTTCAAATTCTGGAATATGACATCCAGTTTGTATGCTATCCACATTTCAGGATCTCTTAACTGCTTTGCGAAAGGGAAGCAGAATTGGTTTTTTCCACACCCCTTTCACAGCTAAATTCAGCAGAAATGTATGAGGGCGGGAGGAGGAAAGAGAGAGCACCAACCATCTTAATTTAGAGATACTGGCAAAAAACCCACCAACCCTGAGTATTATTAGGAAGTAGCGTATGTTCCTAGTTGCTTTCCATTGCACCTCCTTCTCTTATTCATCTTTTCCTTCTCTTCCCGGAAAGAGCCCCACTGCTTTAACTCCTCATGTTTTTCCCAGACATGTTTTGTCCATATGAGGACAGTGCACCTTGCACAGAAACCAGCATTAAGAAACTACATCTTTATGCTGCCATCTGGGAAGCTTGGCACTTGGAAGCAAAGGCAGTGGCATCAAGCAGCAGTCATATTTGGCCCTTGTGCAGCATTGGATTTCAAATTGTTTATATAGGAGTAGGGGAGCACAATGTGTGGTTTCCAGACCTGGAAAAGGGGAGGCACAGGAAATTAAGACTCACAGTGAGTCATGACAGAGGGAGGATCCAAGTCCTCTGGCTTCTGTTTCTGTGCCATAATTACAATGTCCTTTCCCAAGTCAGGAGCAATGTGGTGAGTTTTCAGAACAATTTACATCCAGGGTGACAAAGCTCTGGTATGTCATGTCCACCAAAATTTAGCTCAAGGAAAGGTAAATGTCTCTGAGACCGCATCCAGAAATAAGCATATAATAGTAATTTGAAGGTGGTGTGAAAAGATACTTTGATAGAGTGCCAGGCTATGGGAGGAGAAGTCATGTAGCCAAGACTGACAAATGTAATCAGTATTCAGTGGCTCAGCTGTTATGAGACCAGATTTGGAGGACTTCTGCAGGTTGGTGAGCTCTAGAGATTTGAACCTCTTATAATGAGTAGCACAAAGCAGGCAAGCCATGACTGAGGCTCTCTGGCATGGAATTAAATATTTATTTTTCATAATGCTACAGTTAATTTGAAAGCTTTCAGCAGGAAATTCTGCTTTTCAAAACTTAGTAAGAGCTACCTTGTTGCAGCTGAAAAGCAGAATTTTATCTTGAAATTTTTTGAACGGGAGCTCAGCCATTTGGTGAGGAGAGATGTGGCTCTGATGGCAGCATTTGGCCCTTGCCAGCAATGAACCCGAAGCCAGCCCCCACAGCAAATGATAAGAAGGTAATGAAGGAGAATTTTTCTTGTTCGATTATGTTAATAAAATCTTTCTGACAACTCTATAAATATGTTCAAGGAGACTGTTTTAGTTTCACATCTGCCTTCTGGAGAAATCTTTAGGAACTACACCATTGAAAGGAACAAATAAGGTAAGTACACAGAGAAGTACAGTATGATCAAAGGGAGTCAAGGCGGTTTCAGGAAGCAAACATCACACTTTAGTGGCTGGAGGTCCTTCAGGTTATGTCTACAAGAGAATTAAAAAAAGAATAATAAATGCAGTAGATGCTCTTGCAGGAGCACTTTGATTTCTCAGAAAACATCTGTGAAACTGCTCTGCATCACAGGTTATTAATATAAAAGATATGAAGCTACAAACTAAGTGGAAAGTTGGCACAGTCTACTGGAAATTGGCTAAAGGGCAGGAAACAAAGGGTGGCAGTAAAAAGCTAAAAGGAGATTAATTGGTGAGTGCTGCAGGGAGCAGTGTTGGGACCCGCTTTTTATTATTTACATATAAATTACTTGGAGGGTGGTATTGAAAGATCTTGTCGTTTGCCAGCAAAGCTACACTGGATAACACTGTGCATAAAAAGGGATGATACAATTAAGTAAGGGCTTAATTTATTGAAGTAGCCAAGTTGATCAATAGTGCAGACGAGTGAATGCAGGCTCGAATTCCCCCGAGGTTGGCACCTCAGGTGGCTGCAGGCTCGCATGTCACTGTTATGAACGGTTTTTGAGCTGCAGGGACTCTTAAAAACAAACCTGGCAAACACATCCCAGCACCTTTGCAGAGCTGCCATGGTCCCTTTCAGCAGCCAAAGGCAGGTTTTGTCCAGTGAGTAGATCCATTTGTAAATGTAAATATAAAACCAGCCCACCTGTTTGTTCATTGCTTGCACAGAGCGGTTTTCTCAACGCTCTTGACTGCACGTAGGTGAGTAATATGAGAAACAAATACCTGGATTGAAGAAAGACATTACGTGACAAAACTGCATAATGCACATTCAGAAAGATGTGTGTGACCACGTGCTCCAGTGGTGTGTATCCACTGTTACCTATCAGCAGATCTGTTAACTAGTCAGGTTAACTAGTATTGTCCTATATATAGGATATAAAGGTAATCCAGTGCTTGTATTCATGGTTGCCTCTGCTGGTGAGGTTCTGCTGTTTCTTCCTTATAGCTGGCTTTTTACATTTTCTGGTTACAAATGTCAAGTTTAGCTAGTTAACAGGTCAACTGCTTTACATAAGTAAGACATCAGTGGATAGTAGAAGTATGGTGACTAAACTGGACTCCCTTGAGGACTGCCCTGTTCCTCCAGAGAGATTAAGTTAAAGAGTGAGAAGCTTTGCCAGGGCAGCACAGAAGGGGCTGGTAGGCTGGACGGAGTTGCTGCGAAGGCTCTCAGGGCAGCATGGGAGGCAGAGGACAATGCACAGTTAGCCCAAGGCATTTGGGGCAGAGGACACAAGTTCAGTGGGCTACTATCAGGATCGATGTCTGACTGCAGAAGCAGTGATTCATGAGGGAAAGACTGAAGATTCAGGATGGCATTGTTAGAAAATTTGTCAAGGGTGCAGCCTTAGTCAAGGAAACCTTTGCACTGCCAGTCATTGTCTGGCCAGTTGTCACCTGCACAAATGGGGCTATTCAGTGCTGTTTTGCAGTGTGTGCAGCTTTGTGCAAACTTGTGTCACAGACAGAACATGGCTTAAACCTCACTGTTTACACCCTGAAATACGACTACAGAAGGGAGGCAGTCATGGGGAAGGTTGACTCTAGAATTTAAGAAAATAAAATCGTCGTTTCCATTGCAGTCAATGAGCTGTGGGATGTGTGTGGAGGGGGTGTTCACTGAGCCCTGCTGGTCTGAGCTTCCACTCCACATGCCTTGGTGGTGCTGCCCAACCTATGTGCCTCCGAGAGCTCTGCTGTCACACTGATCCATGTCCAGCAGAAGGCACATATCACTACTGTAAGAAACCCTCACTGAACCAAGTAAGAACTAGAACAAAGCTCCTTGCAGAAAAATAAAGGGTTAGGAGCTGGCTACTTTCTGTGCCTGGGCAAGGTGGTCTGCGAACATAAACTGTACCTGCAATAGACTGGACAGCTCTAACTCCTTTTGTTAGTACCATACTAGGGGCACCTACAGCTGTATTTTAGAAATCCAAGGAAAGGACTTAAGGTAATTAGAAGACAGACAAAGCTGCATTTCAGTAAACATTTTTTTGCATGTCCAACTGGTCCCTTGTATACAAGAATCTTACCTGAAGTTGCCCCAAGCTTGTCTCTTGTAACCTTGGCATTCTCTTTTCCTTAGCCTAGAGACAAGCCTAACATCCCTTATTGCTCATCCCACTGTTCCCTGCACCACTTCTGACATCTAGTTCCTTCTCAAAGCATGCCTTTCTGGAGATGCTCGGTTCACAGAGCTTGTCCTTTTTGGACAGATTACCCAATAAATCTGTTCCCAGATTACCCAATAAATCAGTGATTGCATTTTTTTTTCCTTTTCCCACAAAACAAAACATGTTCTTAGTATTGCTCTTACCTTTCGACCTGTGGATTGGCTGCAGGTAGCTTTGACAAGTTTCTTATCTGCCCCAGTGCTGCTTTCCAGTCAGACAAGGTTGTTCATTTCAGGAGGATTCAAATCAGTGATGCATGGCTTTAGTTTCACACCTTTGCCTTGGTTGGAGAGCCATGGCAGATATGTTTTTCCCAGCACTGACGTTCAAAGCTTGGTTAGCCCTCTGAGGGGCTTGGTGCTGAGTGCATTCCTGAGCATTAACCCTGATGCTTTCTCAAATAGTTTCTAGTCCCCAAGAGATCTTACCAGAATGTGTGCTGCATATTGATGGTTTTGTTGGCCCACTTACCCTCCACACCCCAGTGATTTCCAAGTTGAAACCGTGGGCTGTTAAGAGGCTGAACTAAATTCTGGGAATGGAGGCTATGACAGCTACTGATTTCCATGCAATGAGCTCAAGATGAGAGCTGTGCTGCATATAGGGATCTTTTCTCTATTACCACTCAATCTGAATAAGGAGATATGCTCTAATAAAGAGAGTATCTTGCTTTGAATTTAATCCTCTCCAAAGGCCTTATTCAGCTGCTACCTTAGTGAAGGTCATATTTAACAAATGACCTTCTTGTGCTTTTGAGTGAAAGGCAAACGGTAAGTATTAGCAGCCAGGTCTTGGTGATTTTTTTTTATTTTTTTTTTTCCTCCAGTACTTGTTGCAGTCCCATAAAAGCATAATTACATTAAAAGGTCCAGGCATTTTATGTGTATTGCCTGTTCCATGGCTCCTAAGGGGAGAGGGCACCATAAGAGAGAATAAAACAGCTCATATTTTCTGGTTATGCCAAGTGCTTGGACTGACAAATTTCCCAATTGCCACAGCTGTTTGTGGAGTCCAAGACTGGAGCAGGGTGCGTGACAAGGTGCACCACTTCCAAACTTCAGTACAGACGATCCTTTCCTCCTGTGTGCCTTGCCAAGGTTGTTACAATTCTTTCAATCTGTGATTGTTGCTGCTGTAATTAAAGTGCTCCGTGAGTGCTTGGTGATGGCTCCCCCGTCACAACCTGAGAATTGGAGGCGGTTTGTCAGCTGGAGCACAGCAGGCGCTGGAAGGGGAGTTACACCAAACTAAAGACTTGTTTTAAAACACTTTCCATGGCCTTTGCTTGTATTCTGGATCAGCTGATGGCCTTGCAGCACCCCTGTGACTGCCCCCTCCACTCCCAGCTTTCCCCAGCCTCTCTGGGAAGAGGATGGTTGAAGTTGTTTTAAAGGCAGGGTGTTACAGAGATGTCAGCAGTGATCACCCTGACTGGAGCTGCAGACAGACAAGTTGAAGTCAGTGGACAATTTAATAGTGTGGATAAGCTTCACTTTTGTGCAGATCTTGAATCAGATCTTTAGCTGTTTACAGATACATGTGACTGAGCAGGTAAACAGTTTTTGTCCATTTCATGGAACCACTCACTTGCTCAGGCACGGCACTTTAGTGCAGCAGGTGCCTCAGGTTTAGAAAAGTGAATGCAATGCCTGGTGCCACACAGATATTTCCAAACATGCAATTTATCTGGCAGAGTTAAATGGATCTAGACAAATAGTGAAAACAATTATTTGTGAATATTTTATTAGAAAATATCAAAAATTCATCAAATAAATTATTCAGCTTCCATATGACTAGTGCTGCCAATGATAGGGAAGAGCCTCACACACTGAAACCAGGCAGCTGGGTGGGGGAGGCTTCAAGCCCTTCTGGCAGCAACAGCAGCACTGTACTTTAGAGCCTGGCTTGGGAATGCTTGCATCCATCCTGGCTGGGGTTAGCACCTGAGCCATGCTGAGCTGCAGCAGGAAGGGCTGCCATGTTGGGAGCTAAATTGCAGACAGACTCCATTAGTGCCTTGGGAGGTATTTCAGTGCCTTGGCCGAACCTGCTAAACTCATAGCCAAGCCCAGCAATGTTTTGCAAACAGATCTGACAATCTCCTCCTTCATGAATCTCTTGGATTTTTGTGTTTTAGGTGAGAGTCTATGACCTCCTGCAGTATGAGCATGGGCCAGATGATGTTCTGATCCTAGCTACTGATGGACTCTGGGATGTGCTGCTAAATGAAGAAGTGGCAGAAGCTGTCACTAACTTTCTACCAAACTGTGACCCCGATGATCCCCACAGGTTCGTGCTCATTCCTGATTTTCTAGCTTCTCCATAGAAGAGCACTTTCTGGTAACATATTTTCATAGAAAGTATGATATGAATAACATTCAGGAAATGCGCAACACTTATAAGAAAACATTTTAATAAGTTGGATGGAGCCTCTACAGCAAACATGGGCATTTGGGGCGAGGGTCTGTTATAACTCAAAATTGGCAGCCTTCAAAGGAATAGGTGTGGGATCACAGAATCCTGGCATAGGATCCACTTCGTTGGCTGTACGAGGTCCTGTGAAAACTGTAGGAGGCTGAAGTCTTAGAAGATATATGGCAACAAGTCTGTTTAGAGCAGTCACAGGTTTCCACTTAACTCTCCTCTGGATAGTCCCTTAACACTAAAGACTGTTTCTCAGTAGGACATACTGAGCATCTGTCTCTCTCTCTCTGTGTGTATGTATGTATAAATACTGCATAGTGGAGTTCCTACTCATTCTTGCTCATAGTATAACCCTGAAACCCACCTTCAACAGGGAATGATTAGTGCTACCAGGACAGGTGTGGTGATGGAAGAGGCGGAAAGTCTGACTCCATTTAATTGGATTCTGTTTCATTTCATAATTTTATTCTACCTCATTCTTTTCATTTTCCTGTCTTTATCGCCTCTTAAATTATATGTTTCTGTCTTTCAAACATACCACCATGCAAACAAGTTCCCAAACAACTATCTAGAGGCTGTCTGCCTTGAGTGAGTCCACAGGTCTGCCTGCTACTCATGCTACTGAGTTCCATGTCACTATGATTTAAAATATTATGCTAGAGATCAGAAGTCTCTTGCTTGGAAACAGGAGGACTGTGAAAGTGGGAAGAGCTTTATCCTTCCCTCGGGACTGTTCGGGAAGGGAAGTTTGTGTTGTGCCTGAATTCAGGCCTGTCTACCACTGTCTTCTGCCTCACCCTGGGCTAAGAGGGTGAAAAGAGATTTTACATATCCCCAGTTGGTCTGTGGAAAGCAGAGTTTCAGAAATAACCCTTCGAGAGCCATCTCAAAATGCTTGGTGTTTCTCATATTTCTAAGTCATCATCTTCACAGGGTCAGCCCCATTCTCTGTCAGCAAACAAGGAAGATAAGTATGTATGGACGCCCTGACAGACACTTGGGTTTTAAAGTGAGAGCAGCTTTGCAATAGCTCAACAATAGTATCTTCTCACCCTGACACTTACAAACATGGAATGAAAAAAGAGGTTTTGTTGCAATCATCAGGAGAATGAATGATTAACATGAAGCTGCAACTGCAATATTTTGACCTTGCCCACCTCCTTGCGCCAAAGATGAGATGTGGTATGAAAGACAGCCAGGACTGTCTCTGCTTCAGCAAAACATGTAGGTGTGTCTGCCCTCTCTCTGGGAGGAGATCAGGCAGAATTAGGGAGGGGCACTTCCAGGGCATTTGGTACTATGCTGTGCAGACATGCCATTAATTTAAGGTAGGAGGAGATGACCCATCCAATCTACTTTCAGTTATGCCCTGACACCATTCAGAGATGCAAGGGGCTTCTGCTCTCGTTCCTGCACCCCTGAGTCTCTTCTTGCAAAGGCACTTCTTGCAATACCTCTACCCTGCTCTGTCTCCATTTCTCATCCACTGCTTGGGCAAAGTTGTCCCTGCCTACCATCCTCACCAGTCCTGTCTGTTGTGAATACAGTCAGGGTGTGTTGAGTCTGTCTAGTTCCTTTTGGTCTTTACTGAGCTGGTGATGGCCACCATGTTTGCTGCAGCAGGAAGGGGAATTCTTAGTTTGATCTTTTTTACTTGTTAGGTGAGTAGTTTTTTCATCCATTATAGAACACTCAGCAATCAGAAACACTAAAGCAAAATGAGATTTTCTTTGTTTCATTTAGATTTGCTTGTACCGGTTTAGCTCTAGTAATTGTGGGGAATTAGTTGCTGTTTGTGCCAACGTGAGTGCCACTCATTCCAGAACTGAGTCTGCTGTTTATAACTTAGAACAAACACATTTATTGGTATTTGACCTGCTGGTCTATGAATGAACATCTGAATTGAAAATCAATTTGTTCTTTTAAGCAACTTTGTGCTAGGTCATTTAGAGGCTTACAAATAGCAGGGACAAGACATTTCTCATGCCAGCATACAAAAGGTAATTGGAGCAGTCCCTCATATAGTTTACAATGATATTTATGAAAATTACCTTTGTGGAATTGCTCTTGCTGCTTGGTTGTAAAGAATATTTAAAGGTTTTAAAGTACTATGTGAGAGGTTTTACGTAATTACTTCACAGTGGTCTAAATGAGGTATAACTAATGAACTTACAATAGCATAGCAGGTCAGGCTGTGGACCTGTGTTCATTCCTCTCACTAGTCAGTGACAGGAAAATCTTGTTCGCTGTATTATCAGTGTTATGTTTAAAGGAAATGTTATCCTAGAAAATGTCAGGTTCTGTGATGGGGGTAGTGACATAGTCTGTGGTGAGGTGATCAGCTGGAAATGTAATATCTCTAGGGATGTAGAAAACTTGTCAGAATGTAAGAGACTTGCACTCTGGGTTTCCAGAGAACCAACCTGTGGAGCAAACCCTGGATCCTCCTGACCCAATAGCCTACTTACTCCCTGACAGCAGCATATTAACAAGGAAAAACAAACAAACAAACAAACAAAAGACAGGATTTTAGAGCTACAGAGTACTTATCTGTTACATAATTAGTTCCTTGTGGGAGCAATATTCCTCTCATTTGGATTAAAATTTACTTTATAGTCTCATGGGTAAGAGCTTACAGCCCTTGGCAATGCTCTTGGGACTCTCCTGCTGATATTTACTGTGAGTGTTTGTTGCCCACATAAAAAACATCTCTGAATCCTGTCAAACATAGCATATGCCTGGACATCTCCAAGTGCAGGGAGAGCAAAGTCCTCGGGTCTGTCTTCATCCAGCCATGCAGACACAACCTCAGGGGATTTGGAGCCTCAGTGAATGATAGGCACAGACTTGTTTAGAGAACAGTTCCTGGGTGACTACTGTGATGGAGTGAAGAGGCTGGGGTGGAGCTGGATTTCTTAGCTAGCTGATTTCTTATGGGTATTGTGGCAGATGAGCATTAAGGGGACTCTGAGTGAAGAATAGGTGGTAGTGACACACTGCTGCTTTCCATACATCAGCTCTCTGAAGAGGTATGAAGAGGGAAAAGCATGACTCTGCCCTTTTCTTTCAGTTGCACTTATGCAGGTTTACCCCCTGATCTTGGGAACCTTCTATTTCTCATCCTTCCTCTTGTCCTTTCTTGTTCCCTCTCACTTTCTGTCTCACACTAGGTAGAGATTTAGGAGGATGCTGGGGAGCTCCTCCACCTCTGCTGGGTGTGAGAAGATAAGCTGCTCAGACAGCAGCACAATTACCCCATCACCATTTCTCCTGCAGTACTTTCACTGATCAATACAGAAAGCTCCAGCAGAAGAAAAAACCCCACATATTTATTCTTAAAACACAAAAGTTGTATTCCAGCAAGGCTATTCATTAGGAGGAAGTGGATACTTTAAAACTACTTCAGCAGTTCTCTAATGCTGTCTCTAGAGCTGAATCCCAATTTCACAGTGCTGGAGAATAAAACATTCAATAATGGACTGCTGCTCCTATTCATCTCCAGGTACAAGAGACTCACCCTATCTTCTCTAGTGCCAAGTTGAACACCATTGCTTCAATTCAGCTCTACACAGGAGAGGAATATGTTACTTCACTGCTGCCTTCACCTGTTCCTTTTCCTTTGCTTCATTGTGTTGGTTTTCTTCAGTATTTCACAGTCTGTCTATGAGAGAATTTCTGGTTTATTAAAATTCCTTTTTTTATCTTGCCCTTTCCAAACACTCAGCAGCAAAACCCTAACACAATCAAAAGCAATACTCACTCCTTTGTACTTTTCAGATGTGGGGAGCCCTTCTTAATTAGAAAAAGCAGGAAAGCAAAGTTTTCTTGCAGAATGATGGGTGTTTCTCTCTTAAGTTGTGACAATAGCTGAAAAATCCTTGGGAAGTATGTTCTTGCCAAAATTCACTCAGAATCAGACATGCTGTGAATAAATATTTCAGTTTCTTGCTTGCCACATGGAGTCCTTTTGTTCCTTAGCCCTGCATCTGATTTGGGAACTGAGGAGTACAAGTATGTGTGTTTGGTTTTACCCCATTAGAAAAAAGGATTTGATGTTGCATTAGGGCAGTAAGGCCAGTGCTTCTTGTTATATTGCTATTACAGCTCAAGGTTGTTGGTACAGACTAATCTTGGAACATACAGACATTGTGCATGTGTATGTGCAAGCGTGTTGGATTTTGTATCTTTAGGCTGTTCTCTTATGGCTAAAAGTAAATCATTTGTCAAAACTAGTGAGGGCTGGAAATTTTATCACTTGGTACCATTAGTAGCAGGGGTGCATTGCTGCTGTACAACATTACTTGAATTTAGCATCAAACCTTATGAGTAATCGGGTGTTGATTCATTTGCATTGAAGAAATCTTTCTAGTAGAGCAAATATATCTATTCCTGGTTCAAAGGAGTCATTTGAATTAAAGCATCGAAATTCTAGAAAGAGAACATAATTGGGTATTTTTTATTCTTTCATCCCCAGAGACTGAATAAACTCTCTACTGATAGAAATTACCACTTAATAATGCATTCTGTGGTGAAAAATTCTGGGGTTAGAACAGTCCTAGGTGATAAACTTACCTAAGTCCTAACTGATAAACTTACACAGACCTTCTGATCAATGGAGTTATTGTTCTTTCCCATTCCACAGATGAGATCTGGGCAGATCATTTCGGGTCAAGGATCCTCCTTAGAAAAGGAGATGTTGAAATGCAAACACTTCTTGTCCTTCCTAGTTTTTGGAAACTACGGAGGTGTGCTTTAGTTCTGAAAGCCTGTGTGTGTGGCTTCATAGAGTCCTGCATCATCTTGGAGGTTGATACTTATGCTTTAAATAAAACACATGCAGACACAATATTGAACTGTTTTTTTTTTCTTGCCAGTCTTTTAACTATTCAATTAATTTTTAATTATCTAATAATAGAAAAGTTTGCCTCCACCCAACTAATTCAGAACATCTTGGCCAGGTGTTGGACTGATGAAGTAAAACGTGACAGTAGCTGTTCACCCATAATGAGATTTCTTTCAGAGGAAGTTTCCGAGTACACAGATGTGTTGATGTAGTAACAGCAGCTAAAGCAATAAGGGAGGACATATCAGCACACATGACAGGGCACTGTCTCTGCTCCACTTTTGGACTCTGACACTCTTCTGCCCCCAAGCAGCATGTGGTGTTTTTTCAGGACAGAAAAATAACTCCCATAAATCCAATGCCACTCAGCCCAGCACAGGCTGGGAGTTTTGAAGCAATATGAGCCTTGGTATTTCACTAAATTAAGCACTTGACAACTCACATTCATGCAGTTTTCATTGAACTTATAAATGTGAAAAAACTGTGGGATTCTGTTAATCTGGCCATATTAACTGTAAATTCCCTTTTCCAGTTTCAGAATAAAAGAGATTTAAAAATCATTCCTATAGTCAAGGAAAACAGAGAAATTAGTCTACTTGGCTTAAAGTGTAATTTGGATTTTATTTTTCATGCTCTATTACTTGCCTCCAAATTACTTTCTTTGTTACAGTTAATCTCTGAAGTAGTTCAGATATGATTACCTTCAGGTGTGTCAGTGAACAAGTGTGTAGTTTTCAACAAGTAGTGTTATTTGGGGTCCTCAGTTTTTCAGACTACTCCTAGAAAGCCAGTTCGTTAAGGCAAGCGTGTTTAATATTCTTCTGAAGAGTCGTGAAGCCAGGCACCCAGAACGGCCGATAACTTTTGGTCAAGTGGTATCTGTCAAATACCTTTGCATTCTTATCCAGGAGCTGTCACTGAACTGGAAGGAGTTGCTTTGTGGGTATGCAGTGGTTTGTGTTTTTCCTGCCTGCTTCTAAAATACTGGGAAACATGTCCTGGTAGGTCACAACATTAAATCTGCCAGGCGGCAGGCTGTGAAAACCCACTCTCCTCACAGAGGTGAACACACTCTGGCTATATTCTGCCTTTTCCACAGGTACACGCTGGCGGCGCAGGACCTGGTGATGCGAGCCAGGGGAGTGCTGAAGGACCGGGGCTGGCGAATATCCAATGACAGGCTGGGCTCTGGAGACGACATCTCTGTCTACGTCATCCCTTTAATACATGGGAACAAACAGTCATGAAAGTAGCATCAAGAGTGATTATAGGATGGGGATCCTTTTGGGAAGGACCTGTAAGAGACGTTATGGTTTTGGTGGTCTGACCAAGACACTTCCAATTGATGTAATGCTGGAGGGGTATTTTTCAGCCCGAAAGGTAGGGCTCTGCACATATACTGTATATGATTAAAGGTAACCCTTAAGATTCCAATTTCCCTATAGAAATGGTTTTGGTGCTTAACAGGAATGGGATTTAAATGCTGCTAGCATATTATGGATTCTGTCATCCCTCCAGGTCGGGTGGGGAATTAATTTTTTTCTCAGTTTACCATGTAGCTTGGAAGAGCCATTTCAGTTGTGAAAGTAGAAGTGGGTAGAGGTTCCTGAAATCTACCCCAAATATTCAGAAGGTGGCTTGGGTCACATCTCATTTAAATATATATATATATATATATATATACACGTACATATATGAGACTCAAGAGTTTTCTTCTTTCAAAAAGTTGTATTCATGACTTATCTATGGACAACTTCAAACTTGTGTAATCCTTTGAGCCCCCATTTTCCTCTCCCATCTCTTCTTCAGTAGATACCTCCTGTATTTTAGTAAGAAAACTGAAATTGTTTTCAGTGTGACTATGCCTGTTTACTGCAGCTAAAACAGCCACCTGCAAAATTGTCCAGGAGAAATAGGTCACAGTCCTGTATGGCAGAATTTATTCTGGTGTGAGGAGTTACTCATCCAGATTCCTTGTTGTGTGTATACCATGATTATACAGAGCATGCAAACTCAGCTATATGTGATATTTACCTGGAGGCTGCGGGTTTTTTGGGATCAGAGATTTACATTCATTGAATGATTCTGCCTGCTTTATCCTGTTGAAAGGATCCCTGATCATAAAGTTTTTGCATCAGTTGGGATTTAGTAAATTTGTTTGGGCTCCTGAGTGTATTTTTAGTTGGACTCCTACTTGGAAGTGGTGGTATTGTTCTCATTAGCAATTTGAATACCCAGGTAGTGATCTATTTAAAAGGTGTTCACTTCTTCCTGCCTCACTTATTATTCAATATACCTTTGCCTGCTTGACTTGGGTGATCAGAATGTGACAGCTTATAACTTTCTGTCCTTTTGGCATTGAGAACTGTAGTCAAGGATTACAGTATGACTGTGATAGATTCAAGTCCTTGGCTAGCTTTAGCAGCATTTTTCTTAGCAGTGATAAATCAATTTAAATAAAGAAAATTTGCATAAAACATTATTGAAGTGAAAGCAGTAGTCCGGGAGAGAAACAAGTGAGCAAATCTGCAGTGTAACCTTGCTGTCTAGTCTTCAAGCAGACAGCTCTCCTACTTCACTGGCAGAAATTTAAGAAAAAAAAACAAAACTAGAAGATTCTAGCCTATAGGCAGGTATATTGGCTGGGGAGCCAACTTTCACCTAATTTGTCCCCAGACCACATTCATGTGGAGTTGCTCATCTGGTTTGTACTTCTTTGACAGGAAAAAAGGCAGGAGCTGATGTAATTTTACAGCACTGACTAGGGAGCTTACAAATGTTGTGTCCTTTCCAAAGTAGAAAGAGGATGCTGTGCCCTTTGCAGACTTTCTTCTGAACAGGTGTGACCCAGAGCTTGCCAGTTTTTTAATTTATGATGTGCTGTGTAAACACGACGCAGCATGAGTGCGATGTAGCTGCCCAGATGCTGTATTTGATTGCATCTTGAAGTATATGTGCAACAGTTTGGTGGATTTAAACTACTTTTGCTCTAAATCTCTAGACCCAGAAGGGGTTTCAGGCAATGTGGAGTGTGTAACGGCTCAAACATGCAGCAAGCTGCATGATTTTAGCCTGAAAACTGTTCCACAAGTTCCCCAGTGCCTGCATGTGATAAAGCTGTGCAGAACACAGACATTTTATATTCTAGAGCTTCAGCATAAATCAATGGCATATCTGATTATGTATTGTCATGCTTTATATTTTCTTTCCTTTTTTTTTTCTCTTTACCTCTTTTTCTGTGTGCATCTGGGTAAAAAGAGAGGTTTGGAGTCTAGAATATTTTTCCCATGGCCCCTCATATGTTTCAAATTTTAAGCAAGAGAACTTCTCTTGCACTTCTTTTTGGCCTAATAAACTTGTAAACGTGCTTTTCATGCTCTATGTAACTCCTGTTGTCTCTTCGCAAATGCAGTTCTGTAGTCATCTAGCAATTCAGATCCTCTTTCACAAAGAAACTAGTGCTGGCAAATCTGGTGAAACTGTCTGAACAGCAAAGAAGCTGGTGCTTGCTGGTAGCAGCTACAAGCCTGAGTCAAATATTTCAGTGCTCATGCACTGGTGGTCTTCATTATTTGGTAACATGGTGTCAACACACATACCAGTCTTTATAAAACCACTGAGTACAATGTGGTGGAAATAGATTTCCTGTGTAGCATTTGCCAGAATTTAAAAGCAAAACTCCAAGACAACTACTCATTCAGGAGTGTTTTTTAAATGTACCCCTGAAGAGAGGGGTTAGCAGATTGCATGACTTGGTGGGAAGCAAACTGATGGGTGACTTCTCAGACCATGATCTGGTGAGTCCTGGTGAATCAGCCTGCACAGTGTTTGTTTTTCATCTGAGGCACTGCCATATGACTTCTCTGCAGTGGCTGGACCCAGATCGAGTTGTGTTCTCACTGTCAGCCTCTCTCCTGGAAAGGGCAGAAGTACAGTATTAACAATTAGTATCAATTAGCATCAATTAATGAATTCTGAGAACTTTAATAAAAGGTTTCAGTATGTGACTGAAACTATGCTGTGATGCTTTTTGTTTTGCTTTTTTACAAAGTATCTTTTACACATTTAGGTGCTTTTCTCCCTGGAGCGTCTGGTGCATCTCTGACCTGCTGCATTAGTACTCGGGCTTTCACTTCTATCTGCTTTCTGTAGGAGCTTCTTACATCCCCTGTGCTGGGGTCAGTGCTCTGCTTCAAGGCATGGTATAAATACATATACACACCCCAGCCTCACAGAAATAGCAGGCGGGAGTTATTTATTGCAGAGGTATTGTGCAAGAAGCAAGAACAATTAAAAGCATTTCCAATTCCCTTTATAGGCTGAATTATTTTGTGAATCACAGCATTAGAAACCACTGATGGCAGGGAGGATCTGTGGTGCAAAATACTATTTTTCAGATAGGTGAAGATGGGTGCCACGTTCAGACTTGTAGGTGCTCCAGGGCTCAGTGAAGCTCACGAGTTAGGAGCAGACAGCTCATGTCCTCAAACTGGAGCAAGTTAGGCATCAAGGCCAAATTTTAGATCCTTGGCATGTCATTTTAGTTACTGCCTGAACTAAACCAGTGCTGGGTTTTGCCAGGCAAGTTCCCTTGGTATCCAAAACTGTGTAAACCTTAGCAGCAAGGAAGCTCAGTCCTGAGTTACATCTGCATTCATATTGCTATTGCACAGTGCTGAGCCTTGCCTGCATAGGCATTGCTTAGAAAGTTGAGCAAGTTCTTATCCTTCCTTGGATAATGGCAAGGAAAGGCGCTAATAATAGAGTTCCAGTTAGCTGATAGTGCAGTGTAACACTGTTTTGTGGTGCCTAGTCCAGTCCCACTTCTAGAAACTCAAAACCAAGAAGCTTCTACCATTTTCCTATGAATACTGTTGAAGAAGATAGTACAGACATTTCAGACACTTTCCTCTTGCACTACAGCCTAAAATTTTGTTTGTTTAATTTATTGAAGAAGGTGGTTAGAAATTTCATTTAGACTTTATTATGTGAGGCACACAATCATCCTTTGGTATGTTAAGGCAATAAAGCTTCCGTCATGAACACAAAAGTGTATTGTCTGAGATGTTCAGTGGCCTCATGATGGAGAGAGAGAGAATTTTAAAAAATTCTAAAAAACAACAGGGCTAACAAGCTAAAGGAAGAGTGGTCAGAGTCTGCTGTTATCAGTGGACTTCCATTTACAGTTATTTCCATGTTAAAATATGATGAGAGGTCTGTGAGGTACTGTTGACTCTGTGCTTCCAGGATGTTTGGGCAAATTTTGGCTCTGAGCTTCTGCTAAGTTTTTAAAGAACACTACACGCTCTGAGCAAATCTGCTGTATTTCTTCCAGCCTCAGCGTTTTGCTTTTATTTTGTTTTATGTCCAAATACTTTCAACAGTTTTGTATCAAACATGAATGGCAAACTGTGTGGAATTGTTGTTTGTCCCCAACATTTTAGGTGTGTAAATAGTTTTCCTCCATGTGTCTTAGATGAAGATTCAGTGATGTGGCTACTACAGAGAGAGTGACCAAATGATGCTGTAACTGTGCTGCTGTATTTCTACCTGTGATGTACTTGAAGGAGGATGCCCTTGTCCACCTCCATGCTCATTTTGCTATTTTTTTTAACCATTACTGTTGGTGTTCTTTTATAGGTGTCTTATTTTGATTTTATTTCTTTCTAGTAGCTGCCACATTTTTCTTTCCTTCATTGGACAATTCATCTTAGTATCTTAAGATCTGTACAACTGTCTGGGATTTATATGTTCTGAGGAAAGGAGGACCTGCTGAAGGAAGATGTTTTGGACCAATGTACTTCTGCTTTGTGACTGTGAAATGTTCATCTTTTTGTAACCTAAGAACAAAAAATGTTTAGTAAAGGGATATATTTTGTGTTTTTTGAAACTTTTCAGTGCAATGAACAAAAGAGGAGGATACTGAAGAAGTGTATGTGCAAAGTTTTAAAATAAAATTTTAAATTATATATTATATATATCCATCTAGATCTATAATCATTATTATTTGCCTTTGTCATGAAGATTTCCTAAGTCTCTTTATGTGTATTACCAATTGTGCAATATGGACAAGTAGCACACTCTGCTTTTCAAGGGAATGGATGATTCACTGACAAAAGGTCTCACTCTTCAGTTAATGAAGTAAATTCCTGTGAGGTGCATTAGCCTATGGGTTGATTGGAAAGAGTTCAGCTGTAGGATAGCTGTGTGCTGCCATTGGATTATGATTCATTGCTCAGACTGGCAGTTGCCATGTTCTGACTCAATGAAGAGCTGTGCAAAATGATCAGCTACCAGCTCTCTGAGGCATTGGGTGTAATTTTGGAAATGATAACAGAGTTGGAGTAAGTTTTCCCTCATCCCCAGTTCCTTAGGAATCACTGTCTTAAATTCTGTTCTGAGTTTATGTTCAAGCAAACCCAAGGATGAATTCGTAGATTCCAATGAAGCAGGCGTTCAAGGTTATTTAGTAACCAAAGATGCTTTTGAAGGCACTGAAGATGCAGGAAATAACACCAACCTTGCACTGTACCAGCACAGCCATGGACAATGCCCACCTGGGTTGCCAGCAAGAGAATGAGAGCTGGACAGGTATCTACTTGTTATATTTTGAAATACTGCGTTATAGCGCAAGCAATTCTCCTGCTTCTTATTTCACCTCACACTAAGTAGAAGAGCAGTGAGAACATCTGTTCCAGCACTACTCCAGTTTTTAAAGTGCTGCACATGTCCATTGTATTCACTGAGCATAATGGAGAGTGCAGAGAGAAGCAATGTGATACTTTAACTCTGGTTCTTCTCACTCTCCTGTTAAGTCCTACAGTCTATTACTGCAATCCGACCACAGTGTCAAGCTTACAATTGCTGTGCAAATAAAACTTCAGCACAGCTTTACCTGGCTTGCTGGTGTCAGCTGAATAATAAGTGTTGATAGCATGAAGTGACAGGGAACTGTTGCACATCAACTGAACCTAAAGGACCCTGCTCCACATCATCCTCTTGCTTTTGCATTTCCTATGCCCTGAATTCTGTAAGCTTGTAGGTCAAGTAAGGCTTGTTATTTTAATTTTTTTTAGGTAATCAATGCAACTCTTCAGATTTTGACATCAGTTTCTTTAATTCATGTAGGCAATAAATCAGTCTTTTGCCAAATAATACATTCATAGTATCCTACTGAATGTACTCAGTTAACATAAGGGAAAGATCCAAGTAGTTTATTGTATTTTGTACAGTTTCTGTAAAACCAAGGCCTGAAATTTTGTCTTCTTAACATATCCTGGTAGAGAGATGTACCTTCACAAAAAGTTGAATTCTTTATTCTATTACACTGCGGCTTTTACAGATTTTAGAGTTTCTCTTGTGCTTTCCAGGAAGGCTCATATAAAGCAAACTTTTTGCACATCCTGTTCTTGTTAGGAGGAAGGATGAAGGCTTTTTTTTTAATCCTCCACTTTGCAAAACAAAGGATGCCATAACCTTTTGGGGACATAGAATGATTTCGGGGGAAGTTGTGCTTTGAGGGTGAGGTTATTGATAAGGAATTTGATCAAGATACACAAAATGTATCTACAGGTAGATAAAAGACACATGATTTGGAGACTCTTCATAATTTAACAACAATTAGTCATAAATTTGAAGCTGCAGAAATAGTCCACAGCACTCTACCACAAAATACTAAGGGGAGAGGGAGGTAGCTGCAGTAGAAAAAAGTAATTAAATTTTTAATGCAGTTAATTTAAGACTGATTATTTAGATGTGTAGACAGACGAGATCTCTGAACCTTCATGAATTTGAGGCTGCCTAAGATTAGAATTACATTCTTTTTCTTTGGTGTTTTAGTGCATAATGTCTTGGCTTCTAAGGAGTCAAAATGTCCCTCATCTTTACCCCCCAAGCATTTATTCCTTTAAGCAATAAAAATCAATCCCTTATGGAATTCCTCTGTCAAGACAACCAGCTATACTGGTTTGGCATTGTCTCTGTGCTTCACAGTCATCCCTGGAGTTACCAGTCTGTTGGTTGGGTGTTCTGCTTGTGGTAATTTGAGGCCTTTCCCAACAGACTGTACTCCAACAGAGTATCTTCCTGGTTCATTTATGCTATTGGTGGTGTTTTTCCTTCCTTTCCTCTCCTTACTCTGCCCCTCTCTGATTTAAAACATTTTGGGGTCGTTAACTGCTGTTTGAGATGTGCCACTGAGTCCTTGGCCATCCACCTCCTCTCACCACTTGCTTCCTATGAGTGCTGACACCGCCAGCATCACCAGCAGTGCAGGAATTACTAGTAGCTAAAGGGAAGACTCATAGAAAGGGAAAGGGTGTCTTCTTTAAGCTAACATTGCTTATTACCTCCAAATTAAAACTTACATGCATGTAGTATTTTAATTCTCCTATTTGAAAGGGGAAACTTTAATGGTTTTTAAGTTGATCTTAGAAGGTTCAACTTTCTGAGCCATTGTTAGTTATTATTCTGAGCCATCTTAGTTATTATCTGGGAAAATTTTGCAAGGAACTTTTCCTTGGCAAATTAAGAGCTGTCTGGAAGATCCAAAGGTTATCACACAAGCTCAGATACAACATTTAGCTTCTCATATGATAGTTGTTGCTTATTTCTGTAATTGCTACAACTTTTCAGGGACTAAGCAAAGAAACATGAAATTTTGCTATTTTTGCTTTAGGAAGGTAAGATTTAAGAATATGGAAATTCTGCAAGATATCCATGACTAAAATTACAAGAAAAGATACTGTTTTCCCATGAGAGTTACTGGAGAAGACAAATGACTAGGCAGTCACCTCATCAAGTAGCACAAATTGTTCCTAAACAAAGACCATTTCTCTGCCCAGTATAATATTCAATAAAGCTCAGGGATGTAAAAGCAGCTGACAGCCCTGCAGTCATTTCAGTCTGTTCAGAATTTAGACTGACTCTGCCCATCCAGGTGTCATAAATGTGTATCAGTTTAATTTTTAAATGCACAGCCCTCTGCAGCAGATGTGGGCTGAGACAGCTGCTTCAGGGTAGGGTGCAATATCACAGCACATACTAGGATAAGGAAGGGGAGACAAGAAGCCAAATCAAGTTGCAGTTCTCCAGGATCTAAAAGCAGGCAAACCAGTTATTTAAACAGGTAGTTGCCAAAGAATGCACAAAGAGCAGGGAATTGCTGCAGCCGCAAGCAGTTTAGGCCTTGATTCTCAAGAATCCTCTCATCCCCACGTTGTGCCTGTTTACTTTCATTCCTGGGTTGGTACCGCAGCTAATTGCACCAAATGTCTTATTTCTTAGCATCCACCAGCTTTCCCTAGAGCTTTGTCAGCCAAATGTCAACAGCAACTCATCTAGCTGAGATCAAGGTACTCCATGAACAAGCTCCTAATACAAAGTTCTTATGCTGCATTTTCTGAGGATTGTGTTCACTGTGCTCCCAATTAAAAAAATAAATTTACTTTGCTGGTCTTTGTGCCCTCTCTTAGTGCTTGTTTTTCACCAGCCCTCATGCAATTGAATTTTACATCTGGGAATTTAGAATATGTTAGAAGAGCTGGTCTTTGTGCCCTCTCTTAATGCTTGTTTTTCACCAGCCCTCATGCAATTGAATTTACATCTGGGAATTTAGAATATGTTAGAAGAGCTGGAACATCATTCTTACCCCTTCTCTGCTTGAGCACCAGCATAGAAGCAGTTTAAATGAGCCAGACAAGAATCAAAACACAAGCTTCAAACTAAGTTTCATGTCCAGACATATAAGTATTCTATGAATAGGAAAAATACAAAACACAATGCTCAGACCGTAAATCTTTCTGTGGTAACATTTTTCTAAGAAGGGTGTTTTAGGCAAGGTCTGTTTAGTGCCAATAAAAAAAGGAAGGAGAGAAAAAAAAGAAAAATATTTACTGTTATGTAAAATTTCTCAGTCATTCTTTTCTGCTACCGCTCCTGCAAGATTTCCCTGGTGCTGGCTTCATTAGGAAAGCAGGTAGCGTGGGACTCAGATACTCAGTCAATCAGAAAATGGGAAGAAAAACATCCAACTAACCTGGAGTCCTGAGGTTAGCTATATGGCACAGACTGAGTTCTAATAAATAAGCTTTTGTACAATATTGAAATTGAATTTATAATATATATTTTATATATGCATGTATATATATATATGTAATGTATGTATCTAGGAAAAAATAACTTTGAGCAGCAACTAACATATTGGAAGATGTGATCTGTTGGTGCCTGTTCCAGGAGCTGAAAGCAAGTGGTATTGTGTAGATACACCTCTTTTAACTGTCAGTCACGCAGAATACAGCTAAATATATATGTTTATGCTTTTGTTAACAAACCCTCTACCTTTTAGGAGGACTAGTGAGAAAGAAATAGCAAGGCAACCCTATCTCCAGGTGTCTCATACTCGATGGAGACAAAATCAAGTTTTAAAAAAATTGAACTGGGAATAACTCAATTTTGGTCATTCTTTGGAGGATTCAACAGCTACTTTTGTATTGAAAAGGCACATATATCTGCCACTCCTGGGAATGCACCAGCCTGTGGCTGTCAGACAGCTTGAGCCAGTGAAGTTACCTGCCCCTGATCACTAGCAGCCTCCTGGTGATGAGTAGAGCCTACATTTCTTGGGGACCTGGAAGGTTAAGTAGTACCTAAAGAACAGATGACATAAACATCTAAGTAAAGAGTTAAATCCCTCAGAAAATAGCCTCTTTTTTTGTTAGGGTAGGGGATGAATGCTTCTATTTGCCCACTACCAAAACCAAGGCTCAGAAGGAAGAACACCAACCCTTGTAAACCTCTCAGTAGAGTCAGTGCTCCTACACTAAGGAAAAATGGAAATAGACTCATCTCTCCTGCTCTGGAAGCAGGAGAAGAGAGAAAAGTGTGGCTTTGCTAGCAGTCAAGAACCACCATAGCTGTTGCACTTCCAGTCATGGGCTGCCTCACAAATAGAGCTTGATAGAGAGGCTTGAGGGTTTGAGGTCTCCTGCTTGTTGTGCTGGGCTATAGTTGGCACTTAACCATGTTGGTTGTTGTCTCCTAACATCTGAGGTGGATTTCCTTGTCACCAGTCCTGTGTTCTTAAAAACAAACGTGCTGAGGTCTCTGGAGAAATATTTATTTTTTAAATGTATCTAGGGCCATAGTGTGATGACTGCATGCCAGCCTCCCCCACCCACTGGTCATACTCTCCCTTGCCCTCTCCAGTAACATAACATGCTGTGTGCAACGAGCTGCTTGGTCCCAAGAAAGTGATTCATTTCTCAGAGGCATATTTGTAGTAGAAAAATGCTTTGAGGGTGTTGCTATGGCTCTGTGTGACCTGCATTGGGGATGAAGTAGAAACCTCAACATCGCAGACGTATCCAGGGTTGTGTTCACAAGGCACAGGGTAGCAGTGGGGGAAGGATGTGAGCAGAGCATGAGCTCTGTAAAAATAAAGTCTAATAGCAATTAAGAGAAAGGAGTAGGAAATTAGCAAGGCAGTAAAGATTTCTCAAAATTGATCACAAACCATTGGTTTATCCCTTGAAAAGCTCAGTTGACAAGGATTCTCTCATCCCTTTGTCCCCCTATCTCTTTCAATAATCATCCTTCTTCATGCAAATATAGATGGAAAGGGGGAACAGTGAAAGGTTAAAATGGAAGCAGGCTATCTTTCATCGACATGGTAATTTTGCTGCTTGGCTCAATGCCAAACGCTTACTGCAGCCACTAGCTGCCATTCCAACATGAGTGAAAGGATCTTTAATAAGAGTGTAAATAAAAGCCAGGCTGAGAAATGAGTTTTCCATCCCAGCAATCACTGGCCTAACCTCGGCTGTAAATAGTCTCTCAGAGCAGCACAGATGGAGTACCAGCACCTGGGGATCAAGGCAATCTCTGCACAGTGCAATTTAAACAGCTGGGTACAATTGAAACATGAATTAGCAGGGATAGACGGAGGGATTCCATTTTGTGTGCTAGGTAAAAACAAATAATTCAGTCCTTTTTTTCCCTTAAAAAAAAAAGTGGTGTGTAGGGGGAGAACTTTTGACATGATCTTGTGGGAAGTGCTCTTCACTGCAGCTGTTAGATTAATTTAACCATGAGAATTTCCCACAAGGTGCTGTAAAAACAGAGCCCTAATTTACGATCATTGATTTAACAGCTTGAAAGTGATTTATCTGACCTCAGTAAAGATAGCGATGACACCAGAAGAATGATCGGTCATTCTGGGCTTTGGGTAGCTGTGATTGGCCTTATTAATTTAGAGCAGAAGGTCTGTTTCAATGTCTTATTGAGACAGTGAAAGGCAGTTGGCAACTGAACCATTTTAAATACTTTTTTTTAAGCATTACTAATGGTGCTAAGAACTAAGAGTTTATTCCACATGGAAAAGATTTTCATTAGTAAAGAAATGGTAAGGCTTCATTTAGAACCATACAGAAACAGAAACTGGTCTTGGATTTGCAAGTTGTTTTTTCTTAAGTAAATTTTTTTTTTTTTGCTGTTGTTAGGAATCTAAAGCACACTGTGAAATGGAATTGTTAAGCATTACAATAAATGAGAAAAGGCTTTGCAAGAGATAAAAGAGGTTGGCACGAGGGATTGTTGGCTCTTGCTCTTTTTTGAAGCACAGATTTCAGAAACATCTAAATGCTTCACATATTTTACTATTTTTATCATTCAGTCCTCTTTATGGAAGTTATAGAGATATCTGTTGACAAGTAAATATATCTAGGTTTTACTTCATAAAAATATGCTTTCAGTTAAAATGGTTGTAGCATCCACTACTGAAATGTCACAACTGAGTGATACAATTTCTTCACACAAATGAGAGGAGAAAGGATGAAAGCCAAAGGTGCTTTCTTTCCAGAAAGTACAACTGTTTTTAAGATGAGTGTGAAATGAAATTCAAGTGCTTTAGAAGTTTACCTGACCCAGAAAATTTGAATACAGAATAAAGTGTGTTTCCACAACTGTGTGCACATGCACAAAAATCACACTGGAGGTGCCAAAACTGTTTCTTGTATTAGGAGTGCTAACCAGGAAAATGGGCTGGAAACAGTTGAGTACCAATTTATCTTGCCACCTGGACTGATGTGTGGTTAGGATAAATGTCACTGATGTGTATGGTTCTGCACTTCATTCACCACTGGATTACGCCCAGTTTTAAAGCCCATTTACAAGGATCTAAGTAATTGTCTTTTCAATGTGGGAGACAGAAATGCTGCAGATTGAGATTTCATCCACAGGGGTTGAATGCTTGCAGTCATTTCGCTGTCCTGATGAAATACTATCTGACTTGAAACTAAGATAGTCCACTTAATCTTCATGCAACAGGGGAAAAAAGCAAAAAACAATTCAGCCCTCCAAAATATGACATAATAGCAGTTATTTTAAGAAGTGAAAAGACTAGGACAATAGAATAAATTATGATATATGTAAAACTTCCACAAAAATCTCATACACATTTTAAAGAGACTGTAGAATAAATACACAAACAGCTATCAGTCTCACTAAAAGGTCTTCGGGACCAATGGTACCTATAAAACCAACCTCAAAACCCCATACAAATAAAACAAAGCCAAAGCCTGTGTTATGGGCCTGAAGAATACAGAAAGCTATATCTTAGCCTGTGCATCTACTTGCCATCATCTTGTGTTGCCATCAATTCGTATTGTTCCCTATAGCACACTATGGAGACATTATGAGAATTTTATAAATGATGTGCAGTATTGCTTCACCTAAATTCAAATATGTGGGGAAAAAAAATTAATCAAGAATCACAGAATCAACTAGGTTGGAAAAGACCTCTGAGATCATGAAGTCTAACCTATGATCTGGCACCACCTTGTCAACTAGACCATGGCCCTAAGTGCCACGTCCAGTCTTTTCTTAAACACCTTCATGGACAGTGACTCCACCATCTCCCTGGGCAGCCCATTCCGATGCCCAATCACCCTTTCTGTGAAGAACTTCTTCCAAATGTCTAACCTAAACCTCCCCTGCGCAGCTTAAGACCGTACCCTCTTGTCCTACTGCTGGTTGCCTGGGAGAAGAGACTGATACCAACTTGGCTACAACCTCCTTTCAGGCAGTTGTAGAGAGTGATGAGGTCTCCCCTGAGCCTCCTCTTCTCCAGGCTAAACAACCCCAGCTCCCTCAGCCTCTCCTCAGAGGACTTGTGCTCGAGTCCCTTCACCAGCCTTGTTGCCCTTCTCTGGACCTGCTCCAGCACCTCAATATCCTTCCTAAATTGAGGGGCCCAGAACTGGACACAGGACTCAAGGTGCAGCCTCATCACTTGTATGGCCAAGTGCAGGGGCAGAATCACTTCCCTGGTCCTGCTGGCCACACTGTTCCTGATCTAGGCCAGGATGCCATTGGCCTTCTTGGCCACCTGGGCACACTGCTGGCTCATGTTCAGCTTCCTGTCAATCCAAACTCCCAGGTCCCTTTCTGCCTGGCTGCTCTCCAGCCCCTCTGTCCCCACCTGTAGCGCTGCAGGGGGTTGTTGTGGCCAAAGGGCAGGACCCGGCACTTGGTCTTGTTAAACCTCATCCCATTGGATTCGGCCCATCTATCCAGCCTGTCCAGGTCCCTCTACAGAGCTCTCCTACCCTCCAGGAGATCAACAGTCCCCCCCGACTTGGTGTCATCTGCAAATTTGGTCATGGTAGACTCGATTCCCTCATCCAGATCATCAGTAAAGATATTAAACAGAACTGGGCCCTACACTGATCCCTGGGGGACACCACTAGTGACCGGCCGCCAACTGGATGCAGCACCGTTCACCACCACTCTCTGGGCCCGGCCCTCCAGCCAGTTCCTAACCCAGCACAGAGTGCCCCTGTCCAAGCCATGGGCTGCCAGCTTTTCCAGGAGTCTGCTATGGGAGACGGTGTCAAAAGTTTTGCTGAAGTCCAGGTAGACCACATCCACAGCCTTCCCCTCATCCACCAGGTGGATCACCTGGTCATGAAAAGAGATCAGGTTGGTCAGGCAGGACCTGCCCCTCTAAATCCATGGGTTTGATCCCTGGGCCGTCCTGTAGGTGCTGTGTGATTGCAATCAAGATGATCTGTTCCATAACCTTGCTGGGCATTGAGGTCAGGCTGACAAGCCTGCAGTTTCCCAGATCCTCCTTCTGGCCCTTTCTTGTGGATGGGCATCACACTGGCCAGTTTCCAGTTATCTAGGACCTCTCCAGTGAGCCAGGACCGTTGATAAACAGTGAAGTGTGTCTTGGCGAGCTCTTCCGCCAGTTCCCTCATTAAGGTGAGTAGCACACTATCCACACACTGTTTCTACCCATGACAAAAGTCTCCTAAAAAAGTAAAATAAACCTTCTCCTTCAGAGTAGTGACCTGCATACTGACAAATCTTTGTTCCTCCCAAAATAATGCTAGATATTTCTTCCCACTTAAAGCCCATTCTGGATGGGTTCAGATCTAATTCTGGAAAATTACAAATAAGCATCCTCAACAGCAACGACATCACAAACACTTCCGAAGGAATTTTTAGCAAATGGTGGTTTGCCTTTTTTTTTCCTATCCCTTAATTTACCACTGACTTCATTCTAACACTTGACACAATGGCACACATAGATGTAAACAAGTCTTACAGGTTAGTTTAAAAGCACAACTATTTTTCATTTATCATC